TGTTCTTCATATAGTGGAGAATAATTTATCTCCTCTCTGTCTGTCTTTGTTCTATGTTTTTTGTTTAGAGGAAGCAAAAGCCAAATTGTCAATTATTATAGGCCTTAGATTGTGTATTATCGAATATACTAAGCAGGCACAAGAAATGTTTTTAAAAAAATAGATAATTTGTAGCATGTTATTCATATAACGCATCTTTGCCTCTTCTGTTCTAATTCCCCTCTTGTCACAGCTGATATTCTTCCTCAAGCATCTTTCTCTCGCTCAGAGGAATCCTCTGCTCTTAGAGAAAGGATTATCTGAGCCAGGACCCTCCATTGTCCTTAATCTGGAGTTTCCATTTCATTTTCAATGTGTTATTGTTGCATCTGTCCAGCTGCAGTGAATATCATCATCTTCGTCAGTGTGACTGATGCATGTTTGTCAGTGTGAGTTAGTGGAGAGCCTGCAACAAAGAACTTCAAGCGAGAGCTGTGCAGTTCTGTAACCCTGTTATGAGAGTGATATGAACAGTCCTATCACTTAAAAAATGGCAGCACTGCACCCTGTAATTTTTTTAAAGGAAAGAACTTCAGTGTGGCTATCTCAAGTGCTGTGGAATGCTCTGAAAGTATTGTGTGTGCGCTTTGAAATAGCTGTGTTAAGCTAACACAAGGAAACAAACAGAATTTTTCACTTGTATGTTGCACTCCTATAAATACCAATCTGTAAAGAGTTGTAAAGGAAGGCAAATGAAAATAATCGTCAGAGCTGGAGTGCGCTGAGAAAATGCTCTGCTGTCATATCACTGATCCACAGCGTGTGATATTCTAACGTGGTTTTGTGAATAGCTCTGCCAACTACGTGATCTCAAAAGTGTTTTAACAAATCACTGGGGTTTTTTTTTTTTGATACCTGTCAAAAATTGAAAAGCTCTTTCAGAAAATAAAAGCTCTTCTTTCTTGGTCCCAGTGTAATAACCAGTAAGTAAGCAATAACAGCCTGCATTTTTGGCATTAGCTGGAAGTACAGGGAAGGAAGAGAATCAGTATTTGCTAATGGAACAGGAGGGGAAAAGAATCTATGAAAAAATAGTCTGATGGTTTCTCTAAGAGCAGTGCAAACAGTGAAGGAATAAAACTATTTAGAGAAGTACTTGACCTTAATTTTTTTTTACCTCTCACATGTTTTCATATGTGAGTTAGGGCACTCCAAGTCTGAAACGTACTCAAGTTTCAGCATGTTTCTGTGATCAGAAGGTTGCTCTTCCTTTGCACAATTTTAGACCTTCCTCCTGCTGGTTTGTGTGGAAATACAGGAGATGCAATGAAAACATGACACGTTAAACCCAGTGTGATTATTCTTGTGCATAAGGCCGAATGAAGTATCATCTGTAGTGAGAGGAAATCTTGTTTTTACAATAACAATTTATGAAGCTACGGCTTAAGAAGTGATAAATAAACCTTGATGGTGTTTGCAACTGGCATAGATGTAGAACTGTTTTTGAACTTGAGACTTATAACAGAAATTGCTGCTTTATGAACTGGGATCAAATTGAAAATGTTGGAAGATAACAATTTTCTTTTTCCGACTTTCTTTTCAGTGATTTTTTTGAGCGCACAATTCTGTGTAACAGCCTTGTATGGAGCTGTGCAGTCACAGGTAAACCAGGACTCACATATCAGGAAGCACTGGAATCAGAGAAGAAAGCCAGGCACAATCTTCAAAGTTTTCCAGAGGCGCTCATCATTCCAGTTCTCTACTTGGCCACCCTTACCCATCGCTCACGACTTCATGAGATCTGTGATGAAATCTTCGCCTACGTCAAGGATCGGTATTTTGTTGGTGAAACAGTGGAAATGATTAGAAATAATGGTGAAAGGTAAGTCTATTTAAAATAAAACGTTTCTTTTTAGTTGATGTGGGCCTTTTCTTTGTGTGCTTCTTTTTAGCCAAAAATCCAAATAATAAATTCTGTCAAACACAACAGAAGTCAGATGATGCTTAAGCTAGCAATACTGTTACTGCTCCTAATTATATTGGAGTAGGATTGCATTTCTGGGCCTAGTGTCTCATTCCTTAGCTTAGAAACAGCTCTCGAGGCAGGACAGTTCTCTCCAGTCTTGATGCAGCAGTCTTTCGGTTCCAGTGGTGGATTTGCAGAAGAGTTGTAGTCCCTTGGCACACCTGTATGCTTGTAGAATGAGATCTAATTAGAAACAAGGAGAAACCGTGGGTTAAAAATGGTGTGAAATTGTTGAAGAAATCATACAGGACACAGTCAATTGAATAATATTTTGTATAATGAAGTAAAGAAAGCTTAAAGAATCAATTAGAATTGGATTTTTATTTTCTAAGTAGTCACTACAATTGTAATTGTATTCTCAGGTAATTAATTGTAAAATATTTGTGATAGGTGATTATCTGTGATTTGCTTTTCTGTTTTGTCAGGAGAAAGGTGTGAGCAGATCAGGCACATGCCATGGGCTTCATAACATTGTGTATTTGGGTGGTAGGAATAGGGTAGTTCAATATAGTCAACCTGTGCAGAATAAAAGCATGTTTTCTTAGCATCTCATCCAGATCTTGTTAAAAGGGAAAATCTGTTAGTGTGCTACAGAAGATAACTTGCAAGGAACCTTTTGTGGATGTGTATTTTATGTGGATCTGTGCTTAATACAGAATACAGAATGGAAAGCTTTTGTTCTTTTCAACCAGTGAAGTCTCAGTCTGCAAAGCCTGCACAAGAACTTTGATAGAGCTGCTGTTCTCTGTATGGAAAACATATATCCAAAGCTTGTTTCTGTTTTTCTCATCTGGTCTAGTGAGTAGACCTACGTCACCTTTAGTGTCAAAGTAATCTTGCTTAGGGAATAAGTTCTTACTCTTTCTTTTCTTTTTTTTTTCCTTTCAAACCAGGAACTCAAATATTATGAATTGCAAGTGTAATTTACCTGTTCGTTTTCATTTGCCAAATGAAATGTGTTTGTTTTCAATCTTTGAAGATACTGTCAGTTTCCAAATTAGTAGCACAAAAACGCTTTAGAAAATCAACCTTCTTTTTTTCCCCAGGAGCAGCTTTCCCATCTTTCTGCTGCTTTTCTAAACTCTTCACTAAAATATTTATGTGCATCTTCGCTTTTCAAAACTGAAATGAAAAGTAGGCTTGTATGAAGAAATGAGAGAGCTTTGTATGTATGATATCTTTTGAAATTCAGAATCCATTTCAGTTTCATTTGTACAACGTCATAAACCTGTTTTTAAGTTTTCCCTGTTCTGCTTACCTTGTGGGCTGAATTCAGCTCAGGTAAAGGTGTGATATGTTTCTATTTCATGAAGATAGCTTGCTTTTTTTTTTTTCCGAACTAGCCTTTGATTCAGTCTTTTTGGTTATTCAAAATTATGGAAAGATGCTTATTTAACAATTTTATATTTGTGTTCCAGTTTCACAGGGAAATTTATTAATAATACCTAAGCTAAATTTCTTAAGGCTTTAGGCTGGGTTAGATAATCATTCAAAATTTATTTCCATCTTTACCTAAACTGATAAAGATTTTATATTTTAAACTGCTTGAGTATGAATAGTTTGTTAAAACGAAGCATATGGAGTTCTCCATAGCTAACTGTATGCCACTGATACTGGGAGCTGCTTCACATCTTCATTATATTTAGGAAACACTGCAAATTAAATGTTACTGTAACGGCATTTTTAGGCTTAGAGATAATTAAATAATATAAATTGAGAAGAGGTGGTTCATAGTTATTCTGCTGTGCAATTGAGAGTTGACTTTGACTTGTATTTTGAAGTACTGCATTGAGGATTATGTATACTAACTCATGTTACTTGTTAATAACGCTACTGTTCAACAAAGTGATTTGTGTGTTTGCCAAGCAGAGCTATGTTCTGATGGTCTGTTCTAGCAAAAATGTTTCCTGTCAATCTCTAGTGAAGTAGGATCTCATGAGACCAATGGAATTAGGCAGATCGTTAAATCTTATTTGTGTAGGGTTGCTGTAAACTGCATTAATGTATGAAGCTTTCTGCACTTGGAACGTCAGCCGGATTGTTTTATTATCAGGGCTCCCTGTATCTTTTAATGTGAAGCCTACACTACAATGCTGGGTAAATAAAGGTTGTTCAAGTAATTTAAGTATTGATATAATTCCTAACTTTGTGCATGCAATATGTTTGTAGGATAGATTACTTTGATGCACTTTCCTATATTTTCAGTGAAGTAAGTGGAAGAGAATGTAAACACTGGAAAAGTTAATGTTTTGTCTTAAAGAATGTGCTTTTATCTTGAGTATAAGAAGCATGCTGTAACACTGTGAGGAACAGACAGGTCATCTTGAAGGATAAGAATGCCCGTGCTTTGTCCAGAGGCTTGGCAAAAGACTTCTGAGACTGACAATTCCTGTATTGTACCTGTGCTTTCTGGCTACTACAGAATGTCATGTCTCAGTGATTTTTTTCCTGGTCCTATTATGTCCCTGTTGTGCTCTTATGGTTTCTAGCAGATCACTGCACTGCTCAGTTTTGAATTTTTTGCTTCCACTTTGTTGCTGAGGTCTGGTAGGAGGAGCTCAGACAGTTTGGGAGTTACTGTCCTTCCTGTTACTTTAGTATATTTAGTGCTGTAACAGTTGTCATTGGCCAGAATGAGAATTTGCAGAGAAGTCCCCAATCATGGCTTGGTCAGGCAGTCTGTGAAAATGATGCATGCACTTTGGTCGTCTAATAGAAGTAGCAAGGAGATAATTCTGTTTGTACTTTAACTCTTTCAGATGATATACAGTTTAAAAATAGCTAGCCTGCCTTTGTTTATTTGTGTTCTGCTTTTCAGGCTAAACTTGGGCTGACCTTCCCCCCAAAGTGGCAGCTGTGCCATGCTTTCAAAAAGGGAGGTGCTCAGATTAATACTTAAAGAACTGTAAGAGTTCTGTATGTTTTTGTAGTCCTGCTTCCATAAAAGATGCAATCACCTTTTTTTTTTTTTTTAAACATCAGTTAGAAACCCATGTAATAGAGACTAGAAACTTTAATTTCAAATTAAGTATAAACTTTTGTTGCCAAGGCATTGAGAACACTGGAATCACTATATTCGTGCTTCAGAATGTGTAGTTTAAGACCTGTATGTACTTGTCTGTCTTTTCTGCAAAGAATGGCATATCTTGCAGTTTTTTGTCTTGCTGTCTTAGTCCTATGCTGCATTATTATCTAAAACTTGCTGAAGTGCTTTACAACATCTTAAAATCTGAATTCAGTTATCTCTGGTGTTGGAAGCCTTGCCCTAAACGTCCACTAATGCCTGAATAGGCTGAATAACAACAAATAAGAGCTAATAGAGTGTGATTAACTCAACAGCAGGACCTATTACTTTCAACTTGAGTTTAGCAGTGCTACCTTAAAAGAAATAAAAAAAAAAAAAGGAACCCCCCCAAAAAAACTAGCATGTATAAACAACCAGTTGTGATTTATCAGTATTCTGAGATTGGATGCTATTAAAAGAAATAACATCTGCCTTTATTTGGGTAACTGAGTGAGCAGTGTGATAATTAGTTAATTAATCTGTAAGCTTGCAGTCTGGCTTGAGCAATAAAAAGATCTAAGGTTTTATGTTGGGCAACTTTACCAGCTCTTTGATTTCCCCTCCCACTCTTTATAAAGAGCTTATGAGGTGTTACCTTCCTATCCTCACTGATGTTAAGGCACTTCTGATTGTTGTCCAACAGTTAGTATGGAGCGTAATAAAAAAGTAGTCAGCTGGCAAAGTGAACTAGGTTACTAAAATGTAGGGAATAAGAAAGAAAGTAGCAGATATAAAAAGGAAATATATTTTTCATTTAATTTGACCACTAGATGACACCACTGCGAAAGAATACTTGCCCGATATCTGTAAGCAAGCAATACCAGAATGCTTGAAGAGAATGCAGTGTTTGTAAAATGAAACCAACTTACAGAAGCAGTAGATAGTGTTCTCTGTGAGGAAGATTGCTTCATCTGAGATACAGGTTAATATCCTTTCTGTGCTCTGAATGATCTAATGTTGACTACTGCCAAGCTGTATGAAGTGTAGATAATCATGGAATAACATTGTCCGGAAACAAAACTTCTTTAACTCACTGATTGTTCAGCTGATGTCCTCATGTTTTAGGACTGTTCGTAATGGATTAATCACTGTTTTAGGTCAGTTAAAAACTCGAGAACTATTTTCTTCTCTAAGTCATAACAGCAACACATGGGAGCGTGTTGCTACCATTACAGTGCCTGGCTGATGATGGGTTTGGGATGGGAGAAGATGATCCTTACCAGAGCTAAGATTATAGCTAGCTTTCTAACTTCTTTGTTTGACCTGGCAACTAGATTATACTTGATAATATGTGTGACTGACTGCTGACAACTAGGACAAGTTAATACAACTTAACAAAACGTTTACCCCTTTATTTTGGGTTTTCCTAAATTGCATTTAAGAAAATTATTTAAAGCTTTCCAGTAGTCCAAGATATGTACTGTGTCTTGCCTAGCTATCTTCATAATTGTGTGGTTTCCATGGAACAGACTCATAACATTCTGGAGTTCGTGTGCCTAGATTGTTTGGTTAGGAAGGTTTGGCTGCTGAGATCCCCTAGCTACCCAAGGAATTATATTGTCTCAGGGTTTCCAGGTGGGGGAAGCCTTAACTACTTCTCATTCATTTCCTGCTCTGGCTGTGGCTAGTATTGTGTCTTCTACATGCTCTGGTTCTCTTTGGATCCTTCAGTGAGCCACCTGAAATAGCTGATAGGACAGAAACTTAGCCAGCTCTTATGCCGTGTTAGTTTTTGGCAGGTAAGTGAATTCAATTTAATGGCAATTAGTAAGTAATACAGAGTGCCAAAGCTAGGAAAAGCAAGCACTACCGTAGGCATGTGGCTGGAAGGAGGGATGTAAGGGAAGATATTTTTTTCTCTTCTGGCAATGTCAAACTGTTAAATCATCTGCATCTCTCAGAACAGCACTCCAAGGCTGCAGGTGCAATTTGCTTTTGTGCATCTTCAGCCAGCCACATCTTTACCCTTCTCCTGGGAAGGTTTTCTGCTAGTTGTGCCAAACTGATCTTCAGAATACAGCCTAGAGTTATTCTTCATAGAGCATCCTCTATGAAGAATAACTGTGAAGAATAACTGTCATTGAGCTTCTAAAGCAACCATGTATTGTATATGGTATCTCTTGCCCATTGCACGTCCTCAGGCACACAAGGTCCGCTTCAGAACATTTTGACTCCAGGGGAGTTTGTATCATATTTTTGCAATTTTATATAGCTTTGTAACGCTGTGCCTTTAGGTGTATGCTTAAACTTGAATTGTTTTGTAACAAATTCTTACTAGCTCTGTATGTATACAGTAAGTTCATACAGCATGGAAGTGTAAACGGTGCTGATGTTCATTGTGTTCTTTCGCTTGTGCAGCTGTCCAGCCCCGCCTGAAGTTCATGGAAATCAGTAGGTAACCTCTCTCATTGAGTAGGGGGAAAAAAAAAAAACACACCCACAACTGAGATATGTGCTGGTATTTTTTAAATTCACAATCCCTACTCCTGCTTTGTGTTTAAAACTCTTGGGCTACTGTGGTGGCAGTTCTTCCGGAAAATTTAGTCTTAGAGGCAAAGTGCTGCTTGAACCTTTCCCATAACACCTATTTAGCCCAGCTGAAGAGGCCTCAGATCTTGGTTTCTGGGACTAGCGTAAAGGTCAGCCTTGTGACAGGCCAGAGGACTTTCATGCTGTTAGCAGTCTGTAATGCAGAACTGTTACAGTATAGGATTGTTTTCTAGCTCTGGGTTGTCGGTTTCTGAGCTAGAGTTGTTGAGCCTTCTGTAAAGACGTGCAATGACTATTGTCAGTTTATCTGACTATACTCTGAATATGTTTGGGATTCACTTAGTGTGAAAATTAACTTTTTTTGCAATATTCACTGTTAAGGAATATTGCTGTTACTTCAAGGAAAGGTCGTCTTAGAGAGGTGTGTGTTCTCCCAGTAATACTATTTCTTTTTTCTTCCCTAAATATATTGGAATTAGCAGAAGACTGATCTAAAGATTGTTGTGTAGCAACAAATGAGTTAAGACTGGTTGTGTTGAAAGGCAGGCTGGAGGTCAGAGAAGGATTTTTACTTAGAATAACATGAGGCACTGGAATAACTTCAGGAATACATAACAAGCTCTTAACGTGATGAATTTGTGAATGGTCTTAGGTAAGAGCTTGTGTGGGATGGTGGGTAGCTCGATTAGTTACCAGCTTATTGTGCCTCAGTGGCTGGAATTAGAGATTATCATCATGGAGTTTTTATAAATGGGACTACTGAACTAAGTAAATCGCACCATTTTTGTGATTTTTTTTTTTAAAAACAATTTCTTTTTTTCTGGTACATCTTTTTCTGTAAGAGGAGACCTAATCTGATCAGTTTGACTTCAACATAATCTGCCCTAAAGATCTTAAGGTATCCTTTTTAGAAAGTGTTTAAACTGGTGCTCTTTATTTGGACGTCTTGATTCAGCTTTTAGCTCTGTTCTTTTATGTGACTTATGATGTAAAATAAGAATTGTAAAAAATGAACTCCAGGAATTTTTAACTTCTGGAGAAGAAGCAGACCTTCATTCTCACTGAAAGCTGAGTGTCTGCCCAAGGAATTTGCTCAAACTAGCCATGGCTTGACTGTAACAAGGCTAATAAGTCTTCATTCATAGATTATTAATTCTTTAGTGCTGGAAGGAACAATTGCATCATTTTCTTTAATCTCCTGTCTATTATAAACAATAAAATGTAATGGCTGTTATTGAGCCAGGTGCAGCGTGTTTCACTTGGTTTCTTTCCTAAAGGTTTCAGGTTGTGATTTGAATGAAGATATAGAGAATGCAGAATCATTTTTGTTTGCTTATTCCATTAGCCATTCTTCTTGGTTAAGAATAAAATAATAATGAAAAGCACCTTACTGAGGATTTTGGTACTCACTGGATAAAGTGTACGGAATACATAATTTCTGCACTTAGAGAAGGCCATGTGAAATTAGAGTGCATGAGCAGGCAATTTAAGTCTTGGTAAAATACTCGGTGGCTAAATAATTAGTCTCCTTTGTCCAGGAGGATCGATTCGTTTATATTTCAGATTCTTTGTCCTCCCATGGCACTGGGTAGGGTAGATTGTGATTCAGCTTTCATGTGGCTGTTTTACTGTGATTACAAATTCAGCGTGTGCGCGCTCCCTCTAGTGGGCGTTAAGCTAAATAGTTTAGACAAGCGTCAGTAGCCCTGTCTATCGATGTTCATTGATGCTTTTGATTATTTTCCACTGGAAATCCATTTAAATGCTATTAAATTGAGCGGAACTCTCTAGGATATACATTTAGTAATGTGGAAATAAGTTCTGCTAAGTTTTTTATTAAAGCTGGTAATTTTTTGTATTAGAAAAAACCAAACAGCCAGATAATGCACACTCTGTCATTCAGTCATCTCCATATTATTAATGTGAAGTGGGAGCCTGCGATGTTCTGAATGCTGGAAAAGCAAGGCCTTACAGCATTGGGTATTTGATGTACTTGGCTGCTCTCAGGATTGAGCTGGTGCTGGGCCAGGCCTTAATAAGCCCCCTTGGACCTGCACTGAGGCTGTGAGCAGCCACTAGGATCTGTCTCTCTGTTACGAAGTCAGGTGCTCTTGGTTCTTTACATGGAGTCTGTTTAGATTTACACAGTTAATTAACTTGAGCTCTGCTCATCAGGAAAATGTGCCTTCCAGACCCAAACCAGCTAGCTGTGGAAACAGGGCCAGCTGTGTTTGAATGGCAGTGTGCCTGAGGTTAATAAGTCCAGTGGACTCAAGCTGGCTCTACATGAAGACAGCTCTGGTGTCCCCATGGGTAATTAAGCATATTGATTGTCCTCTTTACTCTAGAAATACATGAGGATGTTAATAGATAATATTTATTTATTTATTTTGGTAACGTGCCCTGTGGAGTGCGTTGGAGCTTGCTCTCTGTTGGAGAGAGGTGTGGGGAGGACAGCTGCAGGCACTGACTGCTTTGCAGCTCCTAGCTAAACTCACAGGGATTTTTCAGTGCTCTGTCCCTCAGTTGTGGGTTGGTTTGTTTGTTTTTTCTGTGCCTTCTCCCCCACCCCCCTCCCCCCTTTCCTGCATGTAGGGCTTTTATATCATGCTCAGGTTCAGAAACAGGTGATTGTTTGAAGAAATATTTGGACATTGTTTTCTTTTTGTTAGTGTTTAGTTCAATTTGGATAAGGAACACTTCAAATTTGGCTGTCACAGACTTTTTTTTTTTTTTTCAATTTAGCTTAGTTTGTGTTTTAATTTCGGCATAATGCCAGGCTAATTCAAGCCCTGTGCTTCATATATATTTTTTTGTCATACTCATTTAATGTGGTAGTGTTTGGTGCCTAGAAGAACAGAATCATTGTTTTCTTCCTCCCCCACCCCTTTGGGCTTTTAATGGTAGTACATGACAGCATCCATTGACTGTGATGGTTCATTTTTGTGAAGCAGGCAGGGCTTTAGGAGATTAAACTACAAAATATGAACCAGGGAATTTCAGGAAAGGGTGAGAGTTAGCAGTTAAGAATCAGCTGTGATAGTTATCCAGTGTTAAGTGTACATGAATTGTAGTTTTTGATATGTAATTAGTTGTCTTTTTTTGTAACTAGCATTCAGGATGCTAGTTATAAAGGGGTAGACTTGTTTTGTCAATTGTGTGCATGCCAGATGGAGCCTTAATATGTGTCAGCAGATAAATGGGCCATTATTAAGATTAGATGCATAATGATCATTTCAGCCTTGTTTATTTAGGTCATGAACAACGGTAGAAAATGATTTCTTTAACTTAAAAAAAAAAAAAAAAAAACCAACAACTTTGGAATCTGAAAATCTTGCTTTCCTTAGATTATTCTGAAAATAAACATAACAGATTTGTTTGACTGTTTTCAATCAACATATTGTTAACTTTCAGTATTTTTTTCCAAACTTTAAGCTTACTTAAACTTAACATTGAAACTAATTCTACCAGTGACTTGAAAGTTGTTCTGATTAGTGAGGCTGATGCTGTGTAAGCAAATGAGTTTATTCATTTCTTAGAACTCGTGAAATGAATGTTTTACTTTGTATTTCAATGCAAGGCTCTTAGGTATTTATTTATTCTGTAGACAATGTAATGTCGTTACGTGAGTGTTCTTAAAACGATAGCTAATACTTCCTGCGTTAGAGAAAGTCTTTAACAGTGATAAATGTCTGTTTTATTTCAGGTTACAATGTCAGATCTTGGAAGTCATTCCTCCAGCACATCACAACGGAATGGCAAATGGCCATGTCAGCAGTGCTGATGGAGAAACCATTGTCATCAGTGATAGCGATGATTCAGAAACGCACAATAGTTCTGCACAAAATGGGTAAATGATACTTCTACAGGATAAGGCATTCAGGTTGGGTGGAAAGGAGACTAAAACAAACATGGCAAGGTCTGATTGAAACAAATTACTCAATTTGTATGGATTGTGAGTATTCTGCCAGCTTGGAGGTGACAAGATGAATGTTCTCAGGTGTCTCACACTGTCATGCTAGTTACAGTATGTATAATCATCTAGGGAACTGTGTATGATGAGAGTCTGAGTGCTGTTAATCTCTTTGGAATGACAGTGTTTGTGTTGAAAGATAGTGGAGGAGCCTTGTGTGCCTGTCACTAGTCCTCTCTACAGAACCTGTGCTGCTATATTCTAGAAAATGCATTTCCATTTTGCAGTCCTACAGTATGGTACTACGTAGCTTGCTTGTATTACTTTATCCCCAAACATTCCATAATGGCCTCAGAACTGAGATTGCCATCTGATGAAAAGATATGATCTTACTGGAAGTCTGTGAAGAATCTTTACATAGTTTTAATGTGATTGTCCAAAACATAAAAATTCACAAAGCTTTCTTCACTTTGTGTGTGTAAATATTATACCATTGTATTTCATGGATTTGATTATGATTTAGATGCAGATAATCAGCATGTCTTGTATTAAGGAATTTTATATATATGCTGCAGTGGCTTAATAACTTTGAATAAGAGAGCTTCTGAGCTATAATAGGGTGTTAAATTTGGATTCTCTCTTTACCAACTTATAGCAACGTTTGCATGTGCTGCTTATTCTAGCACAACAATGAAAGATTTTTTACAAGTACAGTGTTGATGGAGGAAGAATGTTTGAAATAGGTCCCAATCTAGCAACTTACAGGCTCTACGTGAACTTCTGCATCCATGTGATATCTCAAGGTCAACAGAAGTTAATGTTACTGATTGCTGCATTAGGACTTCCGTGTCCTGATGTTCCTTGAATAACTGAGGTGAAGCTCCTCGCTTGGCTGGGGATAGTGTAGGATGATTATTTTTGTTTTTTAAATTATCTGCTGCCCTTTGAAGGTAGTGCCCAAGTTCTTTGTGAAGAAGTCCTACATCTTTGAGAAAATTAAGGCATTCTGTGTTCCCCAAGGCATATGGAATTAATTTGGAAGGAGGTTGTTCTTGGAGTAGTACAGACACACAGACCTGGCAATAAGATGTCTTAGACTCTCAGTCTTTGGTTCTCTTCAGCTGATTACTTATTTTTCCACTCTCCATTACCAAAATAATTTCTTTCTGTTAGCAAGAGAAGTGTTGTAAGAAAATATGAATACATTTTAAAGCAATGTTTTGTGGTAATTAAAAAAAAAAAAAAAAAATCTGTAAAATAAGCTGAAACTGTAAACCTCTTATGGCTTTAAAATGCCTGCTGAAAGTTTTGAGCTAGTCTTTTGTGATAGTTCTGTGACTTTTGTTGTCAGTATTCTACATCATAACATCATATAGAATTTGTATAACAAGTGTGGTAGCACTCCGTTTTCCAAGTTTGCATATACCCTGAACCTATCATTTGCAAAATCTACTTCAAAATAAAGCAGTGTTGTCAAATTTTCTATATAAGTATCTAACATTCTTTATGCCTTTTTGGATGACTTAGTTTTACAGGTCTAATCCTTTAGAGACTATATTTTGCTGTTTGTGGAGGTTATGGATGCTACTAGCCTTGGGACTGGTGTTAAACTGGTGCGTTCTGCCTCTGTCTGCAGACAAGTATCCAGATTTTAGAGCCACCTTTCAGGCAGAGCCACAGTGCCTCTAAACAATGGTACAGCAGATGCTGGATGTGTTTGTGAGGGGGTGGAGCACACAGCACAGATTGATGGGCCATCTGCAAATATTTTTCCTAAAGAATCCATAAGGCTAGAGAATCTTAACTGGAAATAGATGTCATTAGAGATCTCAACCTTTCTGTGACCCCACTTATGTTTGCTTGGGGCAGAAATAGCCAAGTATTCTGTGTTTTTTTTTTTTTAAAAAAAAGCTCTTAGTGGCTATTTTTGTTGCATTCTGTGGTGAAAGCTTAGGTTGTACAGGGAAAAAGAGAAAAAGAGACCAGAGCAGTCTCAGCTGATCTTTCTTCATTCACATAATTTTGAACTGTATGATGTCCTGTAGTCCATCTGTGTCGCCCCGTGATGACTTTGTTGGGTGTTTGTCCTGTGAGATGGATCTAGCCTTTGTTAATTTCTCTGTTTTTTTTTAATAAGACTTGATAAAATACAACAAAAGTTAATGTTGCAATTTCTGTGTGCTAAAATAACTGGACAGTCATCCATTATTTAAAGTTTTTTGTATGAACTGAACGACTACTTCTTCTGCACTAAGCAATAATGAGACTTTAAATCAGTGTTTGCCTCTGAGGAATTTAGGAACATGTTCATTTCCTAGGATAATTATTGGAAACTCAGTAACTAAGCTGTGTTTGGAAGTTAGATTGGGGCTCCTATGTTTGATCCACTGACGGTGAGAGACAGCCTTATTCAAACTAAAATGTAGAAGTTAATGGTGCAAGAGTTAACCATTTGGTTATTCTTTAAATCCTGCTTTTATTACAGACATTATTGGAGTAAAGAATCTGTGCTTTTTTTTTTCAGTGTCAGCCCAGTATTTTCTTGTGTCCTTTCATTAATTTTAAAATGCTATTCTATTTCTACAACTGTCTGTTGTCTTTTTAAATACTTTGTAAGTCTTGCTTTCCTTCATCCTGTGCCTACTGCAAATACTGAGAATATTAAGGATTTTTTCCTGAAGATTGGGAGTATATCAATGCTTGTCTCCCTGTTTGTTCCCTTCCTTCGCCACAAGAAAACCAGCATCTCCACATCTTTTTTCCTGTTCCAAGCTATGTTGCTGGCTTTAGTGCAAGCTTAAAACAAGTAGCAGAAAAGCTGGCAGAAGTGAATAGATCCAGTTGGGTACTGATGGAAGTTATAGACTAAGTCTGGTTGGGGATTCTGAAGAGTTGCTTGTATATGTATATAAACAAAGCATGTAGAATGTAAGACTGATATTTTGTGATTGCCATTAACTGTTTCTTAACCTTTTTTAGGAAGAAGAAAGCCATAATTGATCCTTCTTTGTTCAAATACAAAGTACAACCTGTTAAAAAAGAACTGTATGAATCTGTTATTGTTAAAGCATCTCAGCTAAGGTAAAATAAGTAAAGTACAATTTTAACTTTCATATACAACAACTGCGTGGGGGCTGTATCAGTCACTGTAAAGATGCTTTTGATATTAAGTGGCATTTTATGATAGTGAGTTCTAACTATTAACTAACGGTGTTAGTTAATAGTTAGAACTATTAATTAACACTGGAGCAAGCAGCTATTTCACAAGCTTTGTATATTGATGATTCCACGCTTTAATAGCTTTAATGCATAAACCACCAATTCAAATCTGTATTTTCACTGGCACACAGATGAGACCTGCTATTTCTAATAGTACCTATACCTACTGCTCTGGCTGAAGTTGGTGAAAAAAGTTTGAGAACTCTATTCTGTTATGTTCCTGGCTTATTCACATTGTGAAATGTTTTTGTTGTAGCAGTCATTGTAATCTGACTGCCTTACTATTATAATAGAAAGTTGTGAAGATTTTCTGAAAGTGTTATAGATGAGCTTTTAAACCTCTCTAACCTGGGTACTCTGAAAAAAGTTCCAGTGATTTCAAGACACTTTCCCAGCATGAATTGTGATTAGTTCTTTTTATAAGTTATTCCTGTGTAATAGGCAAGTCTTTTGGATTATTACTTAAATCAGGGCTAATTACACCATATTTTTCCATTCACTTAAGAATTTACTTACCCTCAAGTACCATAAAGCTATTCCAACTAGATGTTTTCTATAACTCAGTAGCTCCTGGTTTGTTTTCTTTTCCATGAAGTAGTGCAAATTCCCTGGAATGTCAAGAAGATTTAGAGTGCATAGTATCCCATAGTATGGAGGAGTTAAATGGCTTGACAAAACAGCGTGAGAATTCACCCTCTCATACTCTCTCTCATACTTGTTGGCTGGAGTCTTTGATGCCTTACCTCCACGTCTGAGAGATACTGCTTTAGTGCTGTTTGTATTTCAGTTTGTTTTTCACTGTCCTGAAGCAATGGTATTTTCCTTTTCCTTGGATATTTTAAATGACACCATGACAGAATGATATGTTTGTGAAAGACTCAGTGAAGATGAATAGTCTGTGGAGTTGTGTGTATATGCAGTAGAGGACATAACAGGGTTTTCAAAGCAAAAATTGCAGTTGCACAAAAATGTATACTTATACGTAAAGATGCATGAATGTTAAATTTAGTTCATAATTAAGAAGATGGCAAAAAGTTTAATTGTGATCTGCTGCATGTGTTCTTGCACATATCGTCAGCTGCATTTAAACAATAGTTAAAGTATCTTAGTTGATAATGCCACTTTTGTTTCTTAATGCAGCCGGAGGAAGCACCTATTTTCTCGTGATAGACTTAAACTTTTTCTGAAACAACACTGTGAACCACATGAGGGAGTCATTAAAACTAAGGTAAAAATAAAAAAAAAGGATAGTTTGTGGAATAGAATATTGACCTAATTCAATCTTTTCTCCTTTTTTGTACTTCTCTACCGTTACCCAAAGCTTGTTTTTCAACAATATCAACTTTATTCTTTTATAAACATAGAATATTGGATTCTTATTTGACTGGACTCTTCATTCTTCACTTCATATTACAGCCTGGAATCTGAAATTCTTCTTCAGATTACTTTTAAAAAGGAGTATTGGTTGTTTTATTACATTTTGCACTTTGTACATGTTGAGAGGAATCCTCATACAGTGATGTAACTTCTCATCCTGTACGGGAAAGCTTTGATGGATGAGAGCCTTGGTGGGAGTCATACCTCTGACAGTTGTGGAAAATTAATAAAAGCAACTAATTTTCTATATGAATTTGTAACTTTAACATCTCTTAAGTCTCTTAATTAAGTGGAAGTGTAGGAAAATAGAGCTGACGGGGTACAGGTGGGATTTGTTTTGCAGTGTCTCTTTTGTCTCTTCAGCAGTATCCATTGATAAGAATAGATGTCTGACCTTACCAGGTTGAGAAGGCAGATTTGAAACTTTGACAAGCAAATTTTTTTTCTCCTCTAATTTACTAAGAATCATGTAATTCTATACCGTGCTTAAAAGTTTCCTGACTTTCTCTGTCAAAAGTGACTGAACAAATTCTGGTAAGTTGCTGGAAATCCTGTGTCCTGCTCTATTTCCTGAAGAATATTTAAGTATTACCAAATGAGGCCAAATTATGTCTTCAGATTTGTGCTGCCTAAGTTATCTTTCTGCTGGATTAACTCTGCATTTATAGTACAGCAGAGTTTTATTTTTTTACAATAAGCTAACCAGTTGTGACTCTATATTTATAGTCTTTCTGAGGGAATGATTCATTAATTTACATATGTTTATGAGAAGGTAGGAGTCTCACACTGAATGTTTTCATCTTTCTTACTAAGGCAACATCAATTGCAAAATATAATCTAGCAGAACAAAATTTCTCCTACTTTTTTCCTGATGACCCACCCACATTTGTCTTCAGTCCTGCAAGCAGACGACGAGGGAGACCTCCAAAGAGGGCATCCATTAGTCATGTAAGTATTGACAACGTTTTTAACTCCTGCAAACTTCCAGAGCAGTTGGAATTCAAGATTGGTGCTGTTTTTTTTGTTGTTTTATTTTCTTTGGGAATGATTTGGGAAACATTATGTAATCATTATTGAAATAGATTGTTTAAATACGAGATTTAATCTCTTTTATCAGCTTATCTTCTTGTCTTTCTTATCTCTATAATCCTAGCAAGATTCTAACTTTTTCAGTATGTTGTTAAGTCATATTTTTCTGGAAATGTTAATAAATAAGCTAAAAAATTCTTAATTCCTGCTCTCAGATGCAGTTATGTCAGTTACCTGTATTTAAACACAGCGAAAGTTTAGCGCTCTAAGCTTGTTTATTTAAAAGATCTGGAAGAACCTCAACTAGTAGACAGAATCTCTGAGTAGTCCCTATATTTGAGGAACTGTTACAGGCCGTTTTGGTTGTTTCAGAAGACTGTTATAAAAATGACAGTATCTGTTGCAGATTATTTCACTGCTGATGTTATGTTCTTTCTTTAAACCCCCCCCCCCCCCCCCCAATTCTCTTTCAGGAGGACAATATTACTGCTAAGCAGAATATCCAAGGAAACAGAAGTAAAGTAGCAAAGGAAAAGACAAGATTTCAGAAGCAAAAAGAAGATATGCAGGCCATGGGTAAGTTGAGATCTTGTGACTAGTAAAACCTGTTCTTACAGGCTTGAGAACTGGCCATAATTAGTGTTTTTGGGGTTGTATATTTCAAGGGAAAAATGTAATGAGAGTTCATTCAATTCCAGAATGTCACTTGAGTGGTTAGAATTCATGTTTATTGATTTTATTTACTTATCTCACCAAACTGTGAGTTGTATGAGGCTTGCAGTCCAACTACATTAGTCTTTTAGAGTGGTGAACATTTTTTGCAGAAGTTTAGGTTTTGAAAATGCTCTGTGTTAATGCAGTTAATATTAAGGTAAACATGTTTACCTGTAAATGATACTTAATTGGAATGGTAATTAGTAACATTCATGAAGACTCTTAAAAAGAGGTGCTATAGTACTTTAATGTGAAATGGTAGCAAAATTCCAAGAACACTGGAGAATCAGCCTTCTTGGTGCACAGAAGGCTGTGGATAATAAGTGTAATTGCTTTTATTTTCTGGATGAGACTAATGACTGGCATGTGTGATACATAGCTGAGAAAATGATCTAGGCCTTTTTCAGAATTTCACACGTATATTAAAAAAAAAAACTTTTTTTCCCCTATTGTTAAGGACTTTGTATTAAAAATAAGGGTCTGTTTTTTCATTGCCATTCACTTGTGATTCTAGCCTTCTTGCTTATTCAATTAAAATCGTAATCTCATTGATTGCTTTTATTTGTTAATTTGTGTGGCAGTTGACAGATATTGTCTGTCCACTGAAAGTGGAAGTGTGTGCCCTGCTGTTACTCTACATACAGCTACAAAGAAATCTAGCAGTTACATTGATTACCAATTAATTTTCAGCATAAAGTGTGTAACAAGTAAAATTTGTACAAAAACCACTGAATTGATAACTGGATTTCAGATGAATTGACTTTTCAGTGATAATTGTTTTAAATATTGAAAGATAACTTCTTTAAAGGATTTTACTATAACAGATATTTTATGTGTATGCTTGTGACATGCTTTTATTAAGCTGCTATAATTCTGTGCATTTGGTGTTGTCATCTTTTTTTGATGGGGAAAAAAGTAATAAATGTCTGTATACTCATTAAGAGCAGAGAAATGCAACTTTACAACCTTGGAAAAAAAACATGTATAATATGTAAGCCCTAAAACTCTGATTCTCTAAAGAACTTTCAAGTGATTGAATTTCTGGTTGGCATAGAAACAATTCAGTCTTGAAGACAATATCTTTTTCATATGTTAATTATAAAAAAGATTAATCTATTTAAACACTGTTAATTTTATTTAACTTTTTGTGAAAGAAAAAATTCTGTTTTTTCCCTCCTATAAAGCTTTTGAAAAAGCTAGATTAAAACGAGAGAAGGCAAATGCTATAGAAGCCAGAAAAAGAGAGAAAGAAGATAAGGAAAAAAAGAAAGAAGAACTAAAGAAGATTGTGGAAGAGGAAAGGATGAAGAGGAAAGAAGAGAAAGAGAGGCTCAAAATAGAGAAGGAGAAAGTAATGTATTTGCAGAATGTGTTTTATATAGGAACAGGCTATCTAGCTTATTTGGTTTGTTTGCTATCTGTGTCGTCATTTTCCATTAACTGTTTTTAGTTTCTAGAAATGCTCTTTAGGAGAATAGATATTTGTAATACATAGTAGGGAACTGCATTTCTAGATATTTCTGTATTTCATATTGTTAATTCACAAAAATGTATATGTATGTATATGTATCAATGTATAACTTGATACTAAATGTAGATATCCTTGTATTTTATCTTTGGATGAAAATTGGTTAAAAAACAGAACAAACTTTGTCACTTTACATCGGATGAAATTATTTATACCACTAAATTCTACTACAGCTATATCCAGTACCTATTTTGATGGTCTTTTTTATGGCAACTTTCATGAATGCTTTTATTTAAAATTTTTTTCTTCAACCTCCACTTAAAAACAAAGAAAAAGTCTAATCCAAGAAAGCATTACTGAAGTCCACTCTCATTTTTGCTAATACATTCTGTAAGAAGATAAATTATTTCATTCTGTTTAAATATGTTCTGATTTTTATTTTTTTTTCCCCATTGTGAGTTAAACTGTAATGAATGATCTGACTGTATCTCTAATACAATTCTGACTTTATTTAGGAAAGAGAGAAGCTGCGTGAGGAAAAAAGGAAATATGTGGAATACCTGAAACAGTGGAGTAAGCCTAGAGAAGATATGGAGTGTGATGATCTTAAGGTAAGATTGAATTTGGAATATATCACAAGCTTGTATTTCACAGGGAATCTGTCCTGGGGACCCTAATGCAGAGGTAGCTGCAGTCATGTATGTCCCAGTGGTGATGCAACACAGGCTTATTTCATAGGCTATTCTGAGTGTTACTGTGGAATAGTTGTATTTTTAAGTGCTTATCTTACTGAGTGGAGGGTATTGAATAAGCCTGACTCCGTTACATATGCAACATGAGTTTGCCTGCTGTAAGCCTGAGTTACTTAAAAGATTTACATAATGAAGAAACCATGTTTTTAGATGCAAAAGGTAGAAATGGTTTTAGAGGCACGCTCTTGTTTTAAACTCAGCAGTTTCTGGATGCTACTGGAGATCTATAGAAAATAACAAAAATTTACCTCTCAAAGGTAATTTTCTAAACAAGATTATATAGTGTGGTTGTGATAACAGAGTATTGTCTTATATTAAGTATTAACATGTGCTGTTACAATTAATTCTGGCAGCAGATAGCAAAAGGAGGCCAAATTGTCGGGAACACAAGGATGGGGTTTATTTGAGAATTTCTGGGAAGCATGACGGAAGGAAAGAGGAAAAAATGAGAATATACTAGAGTAGTAAATGAAGTGATAGCATTCGTTGGGAGGAATATATGAGAACTAAATGTATTTGTAGTTTGAGCTGTATAGGCACTTGGAGATGAGTGGCAACTCCTAGGTGTGTATAGGAAGAGAAGAAACTGAAGAAAAGTGAAGGGGATTGTCATGAAGGAAAGCTGCAAAACAGATCTGCTGTTGAAGTTGGACAAGGCAAGGGGAGAGCTGGGAAAGTAGCATCGTAATTACAGTAAAAATTGACAAGAATATGAATAAAGACAAGTTTAGATGAGGGAATAATAAGAAATACCTATTTAAATGCTGCTTCTGGAGAAATACTGTTCTCGAGATACATGAAGTACTATATTCATTTTAAAGCACAGTTATCATTCATATTGTGAACTGCCTCTTTTGTGGAAAGGAGCAATGCTTTCTGGAGATTGTTTGAATCTGTCTACTAAAAAAACATAGGTGAAGACAAATCTTTAAAGACATGCATCAAGATACTAATTTGAAAGTCACATAGTTAGACATGGTCATCTGTGAACTCCTGCTAGTGTCTGCTGAGCAATCTTGTTATATGGTTTCATCAATTCCCTTTGAAACCTCTTCAGCTATTGTAACCACCCTACCAATGTAACAAAGCAAATGCCAAACACTCAGTTATTAGACACAACATTGCATATCCTAGTGCTAAATGGCTGTGTTTTTTTAAATGCATGTGTTGAGTTTTTGTTTGCTTGTCTTTGCAAGCAGTGATGAGTAACTTTTTAAGAATATGATTATTTTTGCTTGTCTGGACAGTTCCGTAAAACTGTATTATTCCACAAGAGTTTTGAATTAAAGACTTAAAAGAAATGTCTTGACACCCAATCTTCTTAACCTGTCGTGGAATTGAGTTCTTTTAAAATGAAGTCAAAAGTTGTGTTGATGTTTATGAAGTAGAATAATTTGGTATCTCAGAAGATGTATAACCAAGTTAAGTGCTGTTTTGTTTTTTAAGCTACAAACGTTACGAAAATGCTGTTGTGGTAAGAGATTGTGTCTACCTTCTGTGAAATACAAACAACAACAACAGAAAGCCCTACAGATAGGATTCTTAGAATCATAGACTGTTTTTAATCGGCTGCGTATTCTGCAGGGACAAAACACAAGATTAACATCTTTCATTTGGATTGTAGGAACTTCCAGTTCCAATGCCAGTGAAGACGAGACTTCCTCCTGAGATCTTTGGTGATGCTTTGATGGTTTTGGAATTTTTATATGCTTTTGGGGAACTTTTTGATCTTCAAGATGAATTTCCCGAAGGAGTGACTTTAGGCAAGTTGTCATTTACGTGGCAAAATGCCTCAATTTTGTGGTGTCCTTCTACCAAGCATTTTAGATGCACCGTGATACCACTGCTACAGAATTGTCTGTGCAACTTCAATATAGCAGTGCTTACACATGCACATCTATCAGTTTTTCTCCTCAACAACTTCTGCAGTGTTTATAAAAACCAATTTCAATATAAAAGCTGTTAATCTATTTGCTATAAATGTCTCCTTGTGCTTTCTTAATATGTAACTGCAAGAGTAAAATAAACCTTGCTTTGTCAGTGCTTTACTGACAGCATTACTGTAGGAATATTTGTAGTAAATTATAGGAAGGTACCTTGATTATCATACCTAAAGGAAAAATGTTTGTTTTTTTAATTCTTCAGTACATAATTGTTTTCCAACTTTGTGGCAAAAGTGACGCTTCTTAAACTTTATTCACAGAAGTTTTAGAGGAAGCTCTTGTAGGAAATGACACTGAAGGCCCACTATGTGAATTGCTGTTTTTCTTCCTGACTGCCATCTTTCAGGCAATGGCCGAAGAGGAAGAAGAAGTGGCCAAAGATCAAATAGCTGATGCTGAGACCAAAGGTCAGATCCTTAATTTTACTGCTGTAAAACTGATTGCACTGGAATTAACTTTAAACTGCATGATTTGTGTCATTTTCTGCTTAACTTTGTCTTACTTTGCATGGATATTGTATGCAAATGGTCTTGTTTTTTCACTTTTATCTGCATTTAAAACTTTGTGCATGGAGGGTGGGGGCTGGGGGAAATTCAGACGAAACAAGCTTATTGTTACTGTGATTGTATCCAGCAAAGCATAATAAGCATTTAACAGCACTGCTTATGTTAAGGAGGTGAAGGAAAGTTGTCTACTTTCCTTCTCCTTCTCCTTCAGCACTGTTCGTTGTTTCTCCTGAGGGTGAGGAAAAGATGCTTTCCCAAATCTTTTCGAAGGACTTCAACTAGAAAAAAAAAAAATCTGGACCTAATTAGATTAAAAAGTAAGACTTCCCACCACAACTGTAACGAAGAATTTCATATTCATTCTCCTTCAAGTCATACAAGTGTGTATCTGCAGCTACCAGATACTACTTTGTTTCTGTAGCATTCCAGTAAAGCAGCTCACTGTCACTGTGCCCTTGGGCTTCACGGTAAGGCTGAAACTGCACACATTTCTACAGGAAAACTCCAAAGTGTAGTTCCTCAGAACTTGTTTCGAACTTAGGCAGTGAACGACATTTTGTATGTGTCTTCATCTTCAGTAGACTGCTTCTGTTTTGTGTTTAGGCTGTTCAGTGATTAAGCTGGTAGTCTGTGAATGCTCTTGTAGGTACAACAGACTGTAGAATAGGCCTTAGATCTGTTGTTGCTACGCAGGGTGCTTTCCAGAGGTTTTTCAGTAACACAAAGTATTCTGTTTATGCCCTTGCAAGGTGCTTCTCCCTTATTTATATAAGTCTGGCTATTTATAAAGCCTTGCTGTGAATCAGGGAGCTGATCCTCCTCCTTCGTTATGCTTGTTCCCTATCTAGTGACCTTCTCTCAAACAATGTGTAAATGAGGAGGCAGGAAGAAGTGTCATAGTTAGGAACCTTGAAAATATAAGATGCAACTGTCGTGTGTACCTCCTGTGTTTTGAATCCGAGGTCTGAAACAACTCCCAGTTCTTAGGCTTCATGCAGTGCTTTGCTGAGAAGGATGACAGCCACACTGCTGTTTCCCTTTGTGTCCTTTCTTTGTGGACTGAGAAACTTGATTAAGGAGAAACTTTCATCCTTCCTGCTAGTGTGATGTCATTAGAGTTAGGAATAGAAGAGCACTTCCTGTTTGATTTGATGATTCCTTTAGCACTCCCTGTGAAGATATGGTACTTTTGCTTATGTCTGATCTGTAAAATATCTTGCTGTAAAACATGGAATGCCATCTTCAGCAATAGAAGCTGTTGTTGTTTATTGAATGAAGTTATAGATTAGATGCAGGGTTAAAAATTTGGACTACATAATAATTACAGTTGACTTTAGCAGTTATCTTTTAAAGAGTTTAACAGGTACTGAGAGAGAACACTGCTAGGGAAATATAATCAGGGGTTCCATTATTGGGTAAACATAGAACAGTTGATGACTGATTAGATTCTTTAGTTGATTAGAAATAGCAATGTAACATGTAGCATTTCACTACATGAGGCTAACAATTGTAAAAATACGCTGTTCATTTCTAGTTTGGCAGAGTTATGGGCAAGGCAGTTTGTCCATTGTATTTATTCTGCTTCAATGTAAAGCCTTTTTATTATTTATTTTTTATTATTTATTATTTTAATTCTCATTTAGACAGCTTCTTTCTTGTAACAGAATTAGATGTTCTCAGCTTTGTAATTCTGGCTAACCAAACTAGTAGTGGTCAGCCTGAATATTAGCTCTCTTAAATTCTCTAGAGATGGTGTTTTCTTTTGCAGAAACACTAAGAGTGTAGGGCTTTTTTCAAATGGTGGCATACGGATAAGGTGAGAATGGAAAATGAAGAGATTAATTTTGTAATATCTAGGTGGCAGTTCTCGAATGACATAATCAAGCATGTCTACTGTGGATTTGCTTTTTATGTAGTCTTAGTTTGGAGTTGTGACTCTTGGTTCAGTTGGTGACTTTGAAATTGCTTAATGATTACAGTGAATTAAATTATTCAAAGAGCATGCAGTGCTGGAAAGAAAGATGTCAACCCTCTGGAGAAATACCTCTAAGTGCTAAGGAAACTTTTTTCTAAGAAACGGGAACTTTGCTGTTTCTCTTTTCAGTTCCCTGGCTTTCTTGGTCAGTTTGCTAACATGTGATGTTCTTTATTAAGTGTAGATACTTCTTGTAGGTTTCTTGTTGATATCTTAGTAATGGCATCTGTGCAGATCAGTCAGGTTATCTCTAAATTGCATATTAAAAGTGTGGAGTGAATAGTGATAACCAACATCAAAATGTTTAGTTGTTTTGGTGGTCTTATCTAAATGATAATAGGAATTAACAGTTCATTTGAGGAAGCAAAATACAGGTGTTCTTACGTTGTTGTCTATTTTTGCTTTCAAGTGTGTATCCTAATTTGTTTCCACTGCTTTTAATGTTGCTACTGTGCATGTCTTGTGCATTGCAGTTGCTTTAGCAGCTTACGTGTATAGGGAGAACAGCGTGTAGCATGTGATGCATGTCCTTAGCTTTTAGTTGCATTTAAAGATATATTACTTCTGATTTGGGATTGATTTGTAAATATCGGGCCTCTTCGCTTTGTCTGCAACTTTAAACAATGGCTTGCTTTCCTCCCTTCCGCAGTACAAGTTTTTACTTGCACTAGAATAAAGTGTTTATTTCTTAAAGATTTAACAGAGGCTTTGGATGAAGATGCAGACCCCACAAAATCTGCACTGTCTGCAGTTGCAACTTTGGCAGCTGCATGGCCCCAGTTACATCAGGGTATGTGTGGGTTTCACTTCTTGTTTTGTTACTGTTCTTGTTTTACTCTGTATTTTTAAAGCATACTTTTTATATTTTTGTGTGTGTAAACGTCTATATAAAATAACTGTTTATTCTTCTTAACTGTAGGCTGCAATTTGAAAAACTTGGATCTTGATAGCTGCACGCTTTCTGAGATTCTCAGACTTCACATTCTAGCATCAGGTGCTGATGTAACATCAGCCAATGCGAAATACCGCTACCAGAAACGAGGAGGGTTTGATGCTACTGATGATGCTTGCATGGAGCTGCGATTAAGTAATCCTGGGCTCTTGAAGAAACTTTCAAGTACCTCAGTGTATGATTTGTTGCCAGGTAATGAAAGACAATAAACGTTAGAGTTATCTGACTGCTTGTCACGTGGCTTTGTCGAAATAATTCAGTGCATCTTTATAAAAGAGGAGAGGTGTTTATGAGTTGTATGATGAAATATAAACGTTGGTCTGAATTTTATTAGGAGAAAAGATGAAGATTCTTCATGCTCTCTGTGGGAAACTTCTGACTTTGGTCTCCACTCGAGATTTCATTGAGGACTCTGTTGATGTACTACGACAGGCAAAACAGGAGTTCAGAGAATTAAAGGCAGAACAGCATCGCAAAGAGCGGGAGGCAGCAGCAGCAAGGTAGAACGAGGATACAGGAAGCTAAATGTTACTGACACAAATTAAGCTGATTCCACAGTTGCAAAAGGCATATGAGAAGCACTGGAACGGCTTATATTTTAGACTGTGTTCATGAGACCCTGGAGAGTAGTGACTGTTGTGCTTAGTACTGTGCTTTCCATGGAAATGTTGTTTTTAGATGATGATGTCTATAAAGGAAAAACAATGTGGCTGGATCAGATACTAGATTAATTGCCATTGCTTTTCTGTGTTCTTATTACTGCTAGGATACGTAAGAGGAAGGAGGAGAGGTTGAAAGAGCAAGAGTTAAAAATGAAAGAGAAACAAGAAAAGCTGAAGGAAGAAGAGCAAAGGAATCCTGCTGTGGAAGTATCTGTTGGGTATGATATGTGGTATTATTAATGTTATTTCAACTTAGTATTGTAGAATAAAAAACAAAATTGCTTTCATAAAATTAACTTTCATTGTACTCATCATTCTGTTGAAAGCTTGACAACTTTATTGATGAGAAACTTGAAAAAATCTAATTTGTATTTTTTACATATCTTACTGATTTCAGTACTATGAAGGCTTTCTTAAGAGGCCACTGTAGTTTTTATAATTCCAATAATTGTTTCGATCTGAACTAAATAACAGTGATCTTGCATAACAGTTTATGAATCAAATTTAATAGCATTCTTAAATGCTATTCTGTCTCAGGTGATTTCCATAAAACTAAGATTTTTACTCTGTTATTGAAAATAAATGTGTATGATTTCAAGTGGTGAGATTTATGCGTATGCAACTGCATGCGATTCTGGGGGAGGGAGGGGAAACCACAACAGAAAACCAAGGAAGTGCATGCAAAACTGTATCTTTACCTGCTTGAGGAAGATAGTTAAATAAATCTGTTTGTAAGAGATGAGCATGAGCCAAAGTCAGATTTGTGCTATGTTTCTGAAGCTATAATTGTGGGGCCGGGGGGATGGTGAATAATAAATGTTATATTCTAGTGGCTGTACGTGGTTTTCTAAATTTTTTATTATGTTTGCTGAATGAGGGGAAGTATAAATGTTTTATAAAAAATGCCGTATGAGGTAACATACAGATGTATATATATCTTCAGTCAGAGTCTGATTACCTTAGTGCTCTTTAAATGGAAGTGTGAATACCAAAGAGCTGGTTTTAGTATTCAGACGTGAAGCTTTGTAGTTTCAACTCAGTGAGTTACTTTGAGTGTTAATATTAAGTACTATTTATGTTGAAGATGCAGAGTTGTACTGTGTGTTCTCCTCTTTCCATTCAGTTTTTAATGTATGGTTGGTCAGCTAGTCACCTTTTTTTCATTATTTTATCGTACCAGGGAGGAGGAACGAGAGGACCTTGATACCAGTACAGAGAGCAAGGAAACTGAACGTAAAGAGCCAGAAATAGATACAGTGACCGAGGATGAAGAAGAGCTGGGACCAAACAAAAAAGGAAGGAGAGGTAATGCTCTGACGTGTGTTTATGTGGATGTGTGCACATGGCATGCATGCATATGTATGTAACTGGGAAGTTCTTGTTCATAATGAACTTACAGAAAATATCAATTTATGCAAATTTAAAAAGAAAAAAATTTAGATCATAAACAGTGCATTTAGCTGGCCTGTTACAGATCTGTCATCTGTGTGATTTTCCATTTCTTCTCATCTTCCGTACTTGGTGTTTGGATAACAAAAAAAAAACCAAGAAGTTGTTGCCTGACAAACAATTACAGTTACAAGTAACATACCTCAGTGACCTTGTAAAGATCTAATCTAACAGGCTGTTATGTGGTTTTGATTCTTTTTGTTAGAGGTCTGCAAAAACAACAGATATTTCAAAAGAAAATGCTACATTGATTTATTTTAGCTAAAGAAAGAATTTGTGGGCATGGTTATCACTCTTCCTTTTAACTTTTAGGAAGGAGAGGGCAAAATGGATATAAAGAATTTACAAGACAAGAGGATACTTCCGAAAAGAGTGAACCCCTTACTGCTGAAGATGAGGAAGCTTTAAAACAGGAGCAACAAAAGAAAGAGAGAGAACTATTAGAAAAGATACAGAATGCAACAGCCTGCACAAATATTACTCCCTTAGGTCGTGACCGTTTGTACCGACGCTACTGGATTTTCCCCTCAGTTCCTGGATTGTTTATAGAAGAGGACTATTCTGGTCTCACAGAAGACATGTTGTTGCCTCGAACCTCTTCCTTTCAGAATAGTGTACAGTCTTGCACAAATGAACCTCAGGTATTCAGTAAAACTGGAGAGTCTTTGAAATCTTCTGAATCTACCTCCAATGTTGACCAAGATTCACACACCAGTGTTGTTGTAGAGGTGCCAAGGCCAGTATATAAACCAAACCGCTGGTGCTTTTACAGTTCTCGGGAACAACTGGACCAACTTCTAGAGGCTCTCAATTCCCGAGGACATAGGGAGAGTGCCTTAAAAGAAACTCTTTTACAAGAGAAAAATAGAATATATGAACAACTAAGCAGTTTTCCTGTGGAAAAATTCCATATTCCAGGTAAAGGAAGGGGTCCTGGTCTTAACTAACTTCTACAGTTGGAATTGCTATATAATATCTTTAGAAACTTCTAAGTTTTATTTAATTTTAAATAATTCCTAAGAACCAGTTGTTGTTTTTCAGCACTGTTTTGCTCTATGGAAAACATGTTTGTATTGTTTTTTATTTTTTGCTTATGGAGAATTGATGTTATGATGATGTGTGCTATAAAGCAGTGGTTTCTTTTTTTTGTCTGCTTAGTTACTTAAACATTGGGAAAAGATGAATTTGGGGTTAGATTAATATCTGCTAAAGGTAAATCGTAGCATTGATCAACTGATATCCCCATTTCCAGTGTAGTGAGAGATGAGATATGACACTGGAGATGGAAACTTCACAAAAGGAGGCAATTATTTCTGGTTGATTTTTTGGGTAGGTGGGACATGCACTTCACATTTTGATAATGCATGAAAAAAGCCTTTGCTGACCTGAGTATTGTGAACAAGGGAAAAAATAGCATATTTGAGAGTCATACCAAAACCTTTGGGAACAATGAAAGAGTGGTTTTAGCTACATTGGTTGTTAGGTGGCTTAACATCAGTGCTGTGGGATGGTGTTTTTTTTTTTTGTGGAGGTTTGTTTTTTGGGGGGGGGAGGTTCTTTTTTGTTTTGTCGTCTCCTTTGGCAAATGCTCACTACAAGAGGAGGAAGTGCATGCAGAACAGTATTGGGTTTCAAAGTGTAGATGTGTGCACTTCAGTCTTGAGGAAGTCACAAGGTGAATTTCTACAACAGCAGCTTTGAGGCACTTTCTGTTGAATGCCCCCAAGTTTTTCATATTCCTCCTCATCATTGCATTGAGAGATTTTAAGGTAAATCCTCTGAAAAGATGTTTGCCACCTATGCAAATTTATGAACTTTCATTTAGAATCTGTACGTGCTTTCAGTCAGTATAGTCTGTTCCCCTGGCATCTTACCTGTTTGCTTTTACAGTTAGTTTGTTAAAAGGAACTATAACTTATTCTCTTAGTTTCCATGACTTGACAGTTGCACAGGTATGTTTTAAACATGCTGATAAAGATCTGTGCACAAAGGAGAAATGAATTATGCTTATCCAGCAGAGTAAGGATAGTACAAATACAGGAAATGCTGGAAGTATAACTAGTTTTTTTCCCTTGTATTTTTAGCAGAGTTGTTATTGATAGAGTGCTTTAAAAAGCAGTAGATAATTTAAAAGTCATTCTTTTGTCTTTGGCAAGAATTTTTCATCCTGTGTATTGAGATGCACAGATGCTGGTCTTTAGCTCTTCTCTTACAAGGATGCTGTTTGACTGGAGTAGTGTGGAGATGTTGGCATTGACAAGTGTTGCTGTAGGAGGGGAGTTCTGAACCTGTGCATTGAGTTTGTTCTGCCTTGTGCTGCCTCTGCTCCCTCCACTGCCAGCTTCTTGAAGGAACCAACTCCCCTAACAGCAAGCTATTTGGTATTATTGCAGACAAACCTCAAAGTGACATTAGACCTCCTCCTCCAGTACGGGGAAGGATGCAGAATGCCCACGATGCATCCCAAATATCTGCAGAAAAGCAACTTGAAATGAGGCTCAGAGACTTTCTTTTGGACATTGAAGACAGGATCTACCAAGGAACATTGGGAGCTATTAAGGTATTTCTGAACTGTAGAGCACCAAGGAGCACAGTGGTGCCATCAAGTCTGTAACTCAGATGAGAACTCTTGCGTGCTGTGGTTTTAATTACGCTGTCAGTAAAATTAAGTGTAGACAGTAATTGGCACTAAAAGTTTGTTGTTCTTTGGAAACATATGATTTGTATGTTTGCTTCAGGTTACAGACAGGCAATCTTGGAGAGCAGCCTTAGAACATGGGCGGTATGAATTTCTAAATGATGAAAATAAAGAAAATGGTATAATTAAAACTGTGAATGAAGAATCTGAAGAAATGGAAACTGATGATCAAGATAAGTTCATTGTTAAAGACCGGTAAGAACTAGAATTTAAACAACTCTTCTATTTGAGCTTTCCACCAGTACTCCAATTTTTCACATTCAAACTTTTTACTCTCCATTTCTGTAACTTGGTATTTTTCAACAGGTACATTTTAAGATTTGAGTTGTAAAACGTGTTATTTTTGCATTGCTTTATGTTTTGTAAACTATGCCATCCTATTGCTAACAGGTGTCTTAGTTTTATTTTGACAACTTCTACCAACAGATAACAAATAAATTTCAATATCACTTAAAATACAGAGAAAAAAACGATTCTGCCAATTGTTTTCCAGAACAAAAACTCTGCTTTTTATGTATTATTTAAAATGGACAATGGTAGTAGTGAGTGTCAGCTGAACTGTACAGTGTACCTCTTCATGAGTCACAGCAAGAGCCATGATTGCAACAGGCCATGCTTTGAATTGGCCTTTAGCACTGCAGCAAAACAGTGATATCATGTAACTTTAATAGTGCTAATTCTATTGTAGGACAAACTGCAACCTCAAATCATAGTGTTGCAGCTACAAAATGTTTTCTTTTTTTCTAAACAATCTTCTGAGAAAGATTAGCGACTTTCACTAAATTGATGTTTGTTGTAAATCAAACCATGGAGGCTGGGATTCTTCTGTGAATATTTGTAAATATTTCATTCTCAGAAATTGTGTTCTTTGCAGAAATGAAGATTAATTTACACCCTTTAAGATTTTTTTCATATTTATCAAGTAAATATTGAAATATTGCAAGGAAATAAGATTCACTGGAAGCAGGCTGTCGTAGTGTTTGCTTGTGCATTTTGCAATGAAATGTTCTTTAAATGTTCTTTTTATGAGAACAGTATTTGTGGATAGAATTTTGAATTGAATATTGGAATTTAAGTTTTAAGGTTCTTTAAGATTTTTCCTGTTCTAAATCAGTGAATTGAAATAGTATTTTGATATAAGACTCTCCTTTTGAATGACTTCTCCAGTTGTGTAGAGAATAGGTAGGGTCATCAGCATTGTGTTAATGGCATGTTTCACAGATGCTTGCTGTCTAAGAACTGCAATGGGGAAATACTCCACTGTTTTAATTTAGCAAGAAGCTGAAATTTGTCTGTCCCCAGTTTTCCTGGGCACTTACTTCATTCACTGATTCTCTGTTCAACTGCAGAAGCTTGTTGCTTTGTTTTTGGTGCTTGATACTGATTCCATCAAAATTTCTGAATTGCTGTTAGTCTAATGTTAAGGTCTTGCATATTCAAGCAGAGTATAGGATTCTGGAATTGTGTGACAGATTCCTTTTGATGCTGAGCTTTTAATCCACCCAGAGCAAGTGACATCTCATTAAAACCGTGGGGTATGACTAGTGAAATGCAAATAAGTATGCAGCTTTTTTCTGCTTGCTTTCAGGCTCTCTAAATATGTGTGACTGCAAAATATAGTTAACAGCTTTTAAATGTGAAGTAAGAAAAGGCATAACTAAAAGCATTGCACATCCATCAGGATAAAACACAATCTAGTCAGTCTTTATTAGTTGGTTGTTTTTTCTGTTGTTGGTTTGGTTGTGTTTGTTTTTTTATAACCCAAGTAGAAGTTGAGTTTTATTTTCATTAGTGTAAGTTGGCCTCCTACGTTGTAGTTAATGTTTGTGACTGGGAAAGATTAACTGCTTTGAAATGATTGCTTAGTCTTTGTTCAAAAAAGAAGGCTATTGGAAACATGACTTTATTATTAGTTGAGAAATGTTATTTATTATTAAAGGCATCAAAAATAAAACCCACAGAACTCTACTTCCACAGTACATCCCTTTCAAGGCATTGTGTTCTGTTGTATTCAGCAGAGTTGCTGAAGCTGGGATCTTAGGTGCTGGATGTTCTGAGGCTGAAACTTCTACAAACCCTGAGGGGAAGGCAAATGCTTAAAGTGAAATACAGGCTTAGTTTCTGATTTCATCTCTGTCATTGAAACTAAGTTCATTTTTTCATACTAAACTTATAAAGAGAGATTTTGCATAATGAAAATATTATGAATATGTGTAAGTAATTTGCTATGGATGTTGAGCATTTTGATTTTTGTTTGTAATTCCTGTGGAATTTTTTTTCTTAAATTTAAAAAATAAGAGATCGTGCTCTATAGAAACCCATCATAAAATAGCTGATGAAATCCTCTGGAACTCTTAACGATTTGTTACAAAACTTAGCATCCACATTTCTTGAAATTTAGTTATTTTTCTTACGTAAGGATGATTTATCTTAATTAGCTAAACTAATTAGCAAACCAAAGGACTGGTATGACTAATCACATCTGAGCAATATCTATTCATGTCCTTATTCTATGCATACAAATTAGGTTAAAAAATGTAATCTCTTGTGGATGCAGACTTAAGCAACTATCTGTGGTATTGACGTGAAAGTATGTTAAAACTGTGTTTAATACGTTATAATTTTAGGCTCATTGGATTGAAAACTGAAGCTCCAAGTGCTGCATCAACAAGTACAAGTACTCCTCAGCCAGTTAATAATGTGGTCCACTGCTTAGCATCTGCACTGCTTCAGATAGAACAAGGAATTGAGCGCAGGTTTCTCAAAGCACCTCTTGGTAAGCTTTCAGGATTGAAACTGTGTCTCCAGTTTGGTGTAAGGTGTTCTTTCATCTTTGTTCTTTTTTCCCAGTGCTTCCCTCTGAAACATGCAGTCTTGTGAAGGATGCAAATAGTTAACTTATTGCTGTGTGGGAGATGAGCCATACCATTAGGCAGCAGTGATCTTCCTTTGGGGATATAACTCAGCCTTGCTGTTGAGGGCAGCGTGTCATACAACTTTACCACGAGTTCCTTTTGTATGTCTTTAGGTTGTAAAAACTTACCCTCCCTTATATGGGGAGGGTACTGTTTCAGTGAAAACAGTGTAGCCCCAGTTTGTGTAGAGCATCTTGTTTAGCAATAACAAAATATTTATGAAACTTAGTAACAGTTCAAACCGCAAACTCTCAGACTCTCAAATCCTGTATTTATGCTCAGAAACAAAAAGTTGGAGAAAAATCAAAACACAACTATAGCTTGACTTGACTTCATCTGACGTGCTCTAGTGAGAGCACAGATTGTGAAGTGTGTATAGTGGCTGTGTTTTCTAGTGATTGGAGTCCTTACCTGGGTCCTTTTCCAGTTCAGGACGGGAGGTTTGCTTGGAGATGTGCGTCCTTCCTGAGGCAGCCATCCCAGCAAGCCTCCTGTTGTTGTACTGAGGAGCAGTGCTTTGTGCCCCAGCTGAGCTAGTTTAGTTCTTACATCTTTAGGACTTTTGCAGGGTTACCAATGTAACACAGATCCTGTGACTGCACACAAAATCCTTAGACTCTGACAGACTTTGCTGCAGCAGTTCGAGATGTTCATACACCAGAATCTGTATTTTCACTAGACCTTGGTGCCCTGTGGCACAGTTGATCTAAACTGACCCCAAACTGCTTGTGAGTCTCTGCTGCCCCTGCTGCGTGGAGCCTGATGTCTTAATATCAGTTGCTGCTGAAGGTGAGTTTGAGCTGGACTTATCGCCAGAAGATCTGACAGCGTTTTCTTCCACAGATTTTTGTTTTCAGTGTGACTGTGTCCAGAAGAAGAATAAGCTACACATGATAGAGATCAAAGCGCAGAGCATAGTAGTAGCTTAAACTACTTCTACTTGGTTAAGTGTTTGGTCAACTCAGTGTGTCCTGGCTTTCCAAGCCCAACGTGATGTATCTTAGTTACTTAGTTAGTTACAGCACATCCAGAGTTTGTCAATTGCTCTGTGTGTGTGGGTTGTAAATATGTTGTGCATTGTAAGGCTCCATTTCCAAACTGCTTCTGAGGAGTGTTTTGGCAATAGCATTTTGCTGATAGCCACAAATATGCTGCATTCCATACTGAAGGGAAAAAATGACTGTTGGTTATAGATTGAGCATCTTGAGTTGAATGGAAAGGACTAAGAGGCAAAAGTATCCCTGCTGAAGACTTCCATTACTTCAGTCCTCATTAATTGTGTTTTTTTCAGGGGTTCCAGCTCTGCTGTAGTCTAATGATGGTAGTTGTTTTTGTCCATCCTTTTGAGCATGATGATGCAGCTTTTGTTTCTAACTCAGGAATCTTCTTTTCCTTTAGAGGCCTTATACAGTATGGTGGGAAAGCGGTCTTACACCATCTACATGTCTTAAATCTCATATTTGTTTATACTACTGTACTGCCTGGGGATTTCTTCTGTTTTGAGGTAACTGTAATGTATAGGATAATGTGTAGTTCAGGGAGCAGGAAGGGATCCCAGGCTTTGTTCTGGCTTTGTAGTTTTGCATTAAGCTACAGTGTCAGGTTCCCTTTTAATTGTTCTAACTTTGTGTGAAGCATCTCATATTTTTTGATTGTGTAATGACGTTCTCCTAATAGGAGATGAGTGTGAATGGAAGCAAATTTTTAGTTCTTTCCTTAGAGGACTCTTTCAATGGCTCTGTAGTAAAGAGGACCTGAAACTCATACTGTTTCCTAATGGAGTTTATGACTTTTAGGCAGTTCCATGAAAGTTGTTGTGAAATGAGATCTTTTGGACATGACTAGAAGGTGAACCTGCTAAGGATCAAGGAAAGCTGTGTGTTAGAGAGGTGACTGGCAAATGTAGGTATTTCTGAGGGTCAGGCATCAATTCTGGATGCTGCCCTTTCTGAATATAACCTTTCAGTATTTCAGATGTGTTCAGGAAAATAAAAAAGACCAAAACTTGCAAATTCTTATGTTCAGCTTAAGCTCCTTACTTGGAAACAATGTCTTTTGCATGTTACCAGAGCAAGTTCTGTTTCTTAGTTTGCCCGTGTCTAACAGGCAAAGAAAAGTTCTTTACTTAGAAAATAGGTTAGAAATGTTATTAAATGTTCTAGTAAAAAGTGGAAATGAATTCTTACTCAAAGACTGACTTCACAAAGCTCTGATAATTTCTTTCTGTGGCCTGGCTAGGAAGTAGCCAAGAGTATTCTGAGGACAGAAATTAATTTTCGGTTTACAAATAGGTGGTTTTTGTAGGTTTTTTTGTTACCTGCTCTTTTACAGATCAGTATCTGTACACTTTTTTTCTAATGGGACATTTCGTAATAGTTGTTCCAACTTCACTCAGACTGTATGCCTGTAAGTCTGTTTCTAATATTAAACTCGGCAAAGCCATCTTTCTAGGCAAACTTAATTATCACTGAAGTAAAAAACATTGCAAGGCAAACAAGCGTCATGAGTTCTGCTTTGGTAGCAGGGTAGGAGAGTACTTTTGGTAAAAGGATTGCTTTGCATTTCTGCAAACCTTGTTCTGTCTTCATTATTTTAGCTGTTGCCTTTGCTGTGTCATTTCTTTTCCTCTCTGCCCTCTCACCCCTTTACGTGATTTGCTCTGCTTGCTTTAGGAATTGAAGCCATACTTAAATTTTTAGTTTTCACTCTATTTACAGCTTGTACTGAAGCCAAGCAGTGAAATTCACTGCAGTCACCGGCAAGTTTATCCTGGTGGCCTCCAGGGTGCAGAGCAGACAAAGGGACCCAGCAGAGTAATAAAAGGACCAGCTGCTCCTCTTTGGTCTGTCTTTGTTCTAAGTCTTTATCAGGCAGCCAAGAGCCTTGCTGGTGATTCTGATAAGTTTAGAATTGAGATGCATGCCAAATATTCAAGTTGAAGAGCGAGAAAAGACTGACACAGAAGATAGCAATGCAAAAGGAGATCTAGAAACTCCAGAAACAGCACCCTCTGCCTTGCAGAAATGCTAGATAGCTGTTAATCTTCTGTGCTTTGGTGATAAAACTTAGCAGTTTGTTGCTTGAATTGTAATGTATCATTTTTTTAAATTATGAATAGTGATTTAGAAATCCGTTTGTTACACACTATGAAAATTTTTATTTTCTTCCTTCAGTCCAGTCCTAGGTAGCATTTGGGGATAATGGGAAAAAAAATGAGGCGGAAGGAGGAGGGTGAAGGTTGCATTATACACTTCTGCAGAATTATGCATTAAAAATGTAATAAAAGCCATTTCTTTTTTATTTCCCCTGAAATGTAAGCTGTTTAATGGAAACTCTGAAATGTTACTTCTCAAAAAAAATGTTTGAGGGAAGAAATATTAGTTATTTTGTTTTGAATTTTGCTGTTTTTTCTTAGTATGAATTACCTTCCCTTACATTTCAAAATACTTTTTGTAGAGAAATCTCATTCCTGGGACAGAGATGTGAAAATTGAAATTAAAAATGAAGTGATTTGGTCACCCTGACATCCAGTGAAGAAATCAAGAGAAAAGCCTCTGTTTTCTGCGCTAGTGCAGGAATACAGGCTTGAAACATCCTTCATGTACAATACAGATTTCCATACATTTCTAATTCATGGAAGCACCTTTGTGACTGATACTGGGAACAATTTATGTCCTTTTTAACTTGCGCTTTTTTGCTTCCTTTTGTTCATCTATGTTGCATTCTTTTCTATAGATGGATTATTTTAATTTCCTCTACTTCCAAAGTTGTTTCCCTTTCTGTTTATAATGGTCCTCGCCGTAACAGTATCAGACATCTTCTAGCAAAGAACTGGAAGATGATCTGTATATATGCACGTTTACTCTTGTGCTTTCAATACTTCCCTGCAGAGAAGGTGGAAGCTTTTTTTTTCTGATGAAAATTGTCTTATTTACTCTTCAGAGGAGACAGTCAAGGAAGATACCTTGCATTTGAATCAGATTGGGCTTACTATGGCCCTTCTTGGAAGAGTAACTTCATCACTTAATACTAAAGAATGTGCCTTCATGCAAATATCTTGTCCAAATGAAATGACCAAGTTAAGCTAATTTTCTTGGTCCTTGCCAGCCATGGCCATGGAACAGCTATATTTTTGAGATGTTAGAAGGCTCATGGCAGCATACACCAGACGAGTTGTCTGCTGAGAAAGAAACGTTTGAGGAGTAAGGTGTTTTATAGCCGTTCTTACCAGAGGTGGACACAAAGGTAAGGTGGGATAGACTTAAAGAGCTTTAAGACTGTCTTTGCTAGTAGTGGGAGTCAAAGTGAATTCTGTGTTACGCAATTACTCCCTGCACGTTATTCTTTTACCCTTTCCTGCCTGTCTTCTATACGCATTTGTGATAACCGCTGTTCTATTTACATTTTTAGACTATGCAAGTATGGATAATATGAATTAATATTTTAAAAAAACAACAACAACAAAAGACCACAAAAAAAAAAAAAGTATTTGAAATAACTGTATGAATTTAATGTTAGGTAAAGCAGAAGATAATAAAAGGAGCCACAGGGGGTATAAAAAGAGGAAGAAAGTGGAAGACAAGACTAGTCAGAGAGATGGTAAATTTTAAATGTTTACTTGTAATGCTAAGAATTAGCAAACATTGAATATTTTTCAGTTTTCTTTTCCCATCCTTTTGTGTAGTCAGTTCCTTATACTGAAGGACTTGCCATGTAAATACTGAAGTATAAATATTATTGAAAGTAATTCAAATACAGATGAAAGATTTAAAAAAATAAAATTCTGCACCCAGAGATAAGGAACTGTATTTTCTTTTTATTGTGTTTGCATAATCCTTCCTCCCCCTCCTCCCCATTTTTAACGCCTCTTCTTATTTTTCCTTTTTTTTTCCCTTCCCTTTTGGAAACCTTGCAGCATTGTGCAACTGCATATCCTTTCTAAAAATACTGAGATGGAAAACCCTTCCCTGAACTTAATTAGCTATTGATAGATGAATGCATAGATCTGTCAAACAACTTCATTTGCATTGTAGCAAGGCTTGGACGGCTTAGCTTTCTGAGAGGTGTCCCACTGAGCAATGTAGAGCTGCTCTGACACAAAGGAAGAGGCCGTTTTCCCCTCTGAGTTAGCCATATAAATGAGAAAGATGATAAATGGAAGAAAAAAGTGTTACTTGTATTTTACGAGTTGGGAACTGAAGCAGTGGGTGCCATTTGGCATGTTCCTTTCAGCACCAGGGTGTGTTTAAACAGGCAGTGGTCAGTAATTGCTCTCTGCATTACAGCAGGGTAGTAAGTTTTGCAGTGCACATATTTGTTGTGTTGTGTGATAAACTCTATTGATGAACCAGTCCAGGTTAAAAGTAGCTGCCAGTGAAAAAGTAATAATGTTCAAGCTGCCAGTGTAAGCAAAAGAAATGCTTGCCAAAATGTACATACACTGAAGAATTGTGTTTGTCAGAATCATGCTGTGGCAGAATCGAGAACTGAATTGGGTTTTAAATTCTAGTCTGGTGTCCTGACAAACAGTTTTAATGTTCCTACTGAATTTTAAATAATACATTGAGAGCTGTACTGCGAGTGGAGCTTGCCCACTATGTATAGGAAGAATGAGCTTGAGAGGGGGAAGCCTTGAGGACAAAATACTGAGAAATTCAGATTTGTATTTCTTGTTCAGAAGTGACTAAGTGTTATTTATGAAGCTGTGCTGCCTGTTTATCCTCTGCCTTTGCTCATTGTTTCTCTTGTGCTGCTTGCTGCTAATGCAAATATATGCAAGATTAGGCAAATCCTGGCAGACAGTAGACAAGAAGGCAGAAAGGCCTTGCCAGGAGAGTAATTGGTCTCATTTTTGTTCTTTCATTTCATTTGTTACTAGATGGTTTTTCTTTTCCTGTTACTGAGGAGAAATCATTTGGCAGATAGCTAGATTGCAAGCCATTCCTGTGCCCACTGTGATTAGTAGAGCAGGCAAGGTAGCATTTTTTTTACTTAAGTACATTGTTAATGAGCTGGAGATCACAGAGTAATAGCTGCAACATCAATTTTAGAAGGGACATCTTTAGTAATTTCTATAATTAAAAGTACTGCTTTTTTCTTCTTGATTTAGAATATGAGAAATAGCTTTCAACACTCAAATTTCTTCTTCTGCATAGCAGCAGCATTGCAGGGTGTAATTCATACTTTCTCTTTTTTTTTTTTTTTTTTCCTCCTCAAACAGTCCATTTGCTTCTGCAATTCCCAGCTGCTCATTCCTGTTCTGTACTGCTCCTTTCACTGTTCTGTTCTGCTTCTTTCACTATTCTGTGGGACCACTTCAGTGGTCTGGATTGAAAACCAAATGTCTTCGAGAAAAGTAACTTGATTTTTCACCCCTGTCCCTCATTTATTTCTAGCCAAAGAGGACCCCAGTCTCGTTTTTTCTCTAGATGTGCATCACAACTTCCTTTGTGTAATATTGCTCATAAAATACCTAGAAATCAGTTATTTTTCCTTCAGAACAGTCACCACATATGACCATATTGACATGCAAATGCCTGTGAAGGCAGAGTGCAGGATAGGAATAAAGGTACTGAAGCACTGGGAGAGGGCTGAAAAACTGCTAGACTGTGCCACACAAGGGAAGGTGTGAGAGCCTTTGGAGTTGGTTAGTTGGCATTTTGTGAGTTTTTGTTTTGTTTGTTCTTGTCCAGTAAAGTCTCTGAATGCTGAGCAGCTTCTTTAAATGAAAACATTTTGGGGATTTGGTGTGTCTTCCCATATACTTTTAAGTGGGATCAGATTGTTAGGTTTCCAGGTTGACATCTGAGTAAAGATTTTTGTCTTATGTCCTATGTAAGTGGCAGTTTGCGGCTAAATTGGTATTGAAAGGTGAAATCCTAGAGCTTCGGTAGCTGGGAAACCAAGGAAGAAATACTTATGTACTGAAAAGATAAGACAAAGGTTGTTCTGTTATCTCAATTTACTAGTCCGTATCTGTTTGAAATACTAAGCCTTGCTTCATAGTCTACAACAACCCAAATGTTTGAAAAAGAAGCTTGATCCTGTGCTTATTTTGTTTTCTTCTCTAATGGAAGACGCCAGTGATGGTGGACGATCCTATAAAACAGTTTTGGATCGCTGGAGAGAGTCACTTCTTTCTTCTACCAGCTTGTCTCAAGTCTTCCTTCATCTGTCTACACTGGATCGAAGTGTCATCTGGTCAAAGTCCATCCTCAACGCTCGCTGTAAAGTATGTCGAAAGAAAGGTGATGCAGAAAGCATGGTGCTGTGTGATGGCTGTGATCGAGGCTATCATACCTACTGTATCAGGCCCAAGCTGAAGGTATCTGAGGAAAAATAAGTGCTTCCTTTTCACATAAAATTGATACAGTTCTTACAGCTAATGGTGTCTAGCTGATACTTCTTGCTTCTGTTTGTAGATCATTCCCGAAGGAGACTGGTTTTGTCCAGAGTGCCGGCCAAAGCAGCGCTCTAGACGCCTTTCCTCCAGGCAGAGACCATCTGTGGAAAGTGATGAAGAGATGGCTGAGCGGATAGAAGGGGAGGAAGAGGCAAGCTACGATGAAATGAGACAAAGTGAGGAAGAGGATTATGAAGAAGAACATGAAGAGGAAGATGAATCTCAGGAGGAGGAAGAGATGAGGTAAATAGGCATCCATTAGAGTGATTTCCTATTGGAATACTCTCTTGACTGTTAGGTGAAGTAATTTTTTCAAATAAGCAAGTCTTGAGAATTCAGTGCTGAGTGAGGAAGGAAGCTAGTTGTCAATTTGGTCCTTACTGATGGGGTTTTTTAAAAAAAAAAAAAAAAAAAGCTAGCTACCTCCAATGGACTTAGAGACTTAGAGTTACTTTTCTGGATTAAAATTCCACCTTTGGGTGTGTGGGTGAGGGATGGCTATCACAGTTGGAGTTATGTATGGTTGCTGTTTGAATGTGCAGTGAAGAGTCTCAAACAGTGAAGATTTTCTGGAGAAAATCTGGAGTATTGCAGTCCAATTGAATTTTAGGGGACTTCATGCATACAATAAGTATGAACATTATCTTGAATACTTTGTCTTCCATAATGTCACATTGAGAGGACTGAGGATTTCTGCAGTAGCTCATTTTAATTTTTTTTAATTAAAAAGCACCTAAGTAGTTCAATGTAGTAATTCCTGTAATGTGATAGATTTGATGTACAGTAGGTATGTAAAAAGCTGAAGGGAACATTTGATATGAAAGTAATTTTTTGAATTAACTGAAACAAAACCTCAGTACAGTTCAGATTGCATCTTCTTGAGAATTACATTTGTCTCTGGGATCTTTCTGTTCTCCTTTTAATGGCTGGAAAGGCATGAATATTAGTTAGACTCTGACTACAGCTTAATTTGTATTTGCAGCTTTTTAGAACTGCACTTTATTTCTTACCTAATAATGTTCAAAACTCCTAGTAGTTGCAGTTACTGTTAGAAATGAGCGGCCAGTTTAAGAAAATGGTAGGTGGTATCCATGTAATACATTCACTTTGCACCAGCTGCAAGGGTGATCAAAATTCTGATCATTTCTTTAATGCATTGCACATAATATTTAATTAAATGAATTCAGAGCAGTGTTTAAAAGACTGGTAGTGGGGTGACTGCATTAGTCAAAGTCTGTTCACTACTAGCCTTGGGTTGTTGGGAATTTTTTAAATGCTGAATTAGAAAACTGAGAAAAAAGAGGAGAATGGAATCTTTGGATATTTTTTTTTTTTTGTTTAAGCCCTTCAAAGCACGGAAGACCACAGGTCAAGTTTCCATTAAAAATGAGAGCAGCCAAACTCAACAATCCTTTTTCAAGTCGGAACATCCAGCGTCAGGCAAGATATGCTTCCAGGAGTCAGCAAAATACACCTAAGCAAGCAGGATCTTCTAGAGTGACCAGAAGGGGGTTAAGGAAGGTAAAATCAGCCCCTCCATCAGTGACAAAACCTACTTTAAGACTTAGCAGCCGGACCACTCGTCAGAGCCAAAGTTCATTACAAGCAGATGTATTCGTGGAGTTAATCAGTCCTCGAAGACGACGAAGAGGAAGAAAGAATGCTGATAACGCACTGGAAAATAGTCCTTCTGATTCCCTTGGATTTAGAATTGTTGATTCTACAGACTCTAATGAACGGGTTAGAAAATATCCAGTTGCTGCTCCAAAGCTTTCTCTTCCTGTTAGTGAGCCCAAGAGAAGAGGCAGGAAACGACAATCCACAGGTTAGAGAAATGTCTTAGTCCAGAATGAAAACAAAGTTCACTTGATTGCTAAAATTGTGTGATAGAGTGAAGAAAACTAGAAGTAGTGAGAAACGATGGTTGAAGGTGCTTTTGTCACAGCAAAACATTCCCTTCTTTTACAGTGACAGAAGGGAACATTAAAAAATGTCTGGTAATTTAAAGAACAAATATTATTTGCCAAGAAGATACTCATGTTTGAAACTTCGTATTTGCACACAATATGAGCATGGTATACAGAAAATCTGGAAGTTGCGTGCATTCCTGAAACCATGTGAATATCTTCTTAGAGTTTGTATGCTTTGATTAAATGACGGATAAGGTAGAGACATTAGGAATTTACAAATATAACAACAAACTGCTAAGAGATAACAAATGTCGTCTTTCTGGTACAGGACCAACAGTGTCCTTGCTAATACCAGGTATTTGATTGCAGAGAAGTGCTTGAAAAGCTGCAGTACCTTTTACAAACCAAATGACGTAGTATGAGACTGAAGAGTGTAAAGCAGCTTGCACTCCAGTGTGGCTGCCTTGTATTCTACACCATTTCTGTCCTTCACCATTGGGAGTTTCTGGGCTTATTCTGTGTAACTATCCTCATGACTACTCTTGAAAACAAATAAAACCTGACTGAATAGAGTTTTGTGAAAGTAAGTTATGAACAGGTGGCTCATTCTGTTTTTTCCTCTAAGAAGGCTTTTCTGTGTTTAACAAATTGTTTTAAAATTGGAATCAGAGGAAAAAGTCATTTCAAAATTAATGCAATGAATTGAAAAGGAAAACCCAGGAAAAGCACCTTGGTGCTTAGTATTTTATTCAAGAAAAAGAGACAGTAGTAGTTAATAACAAGACTGTAACCTAGTTAATTCCTGAAGCCAAACTATAAGAGTTTTGCCCTCTGTTATGTTGGTGGTTTCAGTACCCAACGTGTCCCAAAGCAGGAGCTGTTAGTTTTTCAGACAAGAAACTGCTATTAAACACTTCAGCAGAAACGATTTTTTTTCTAAGTACAACAGTAGCACAGAAGGAAAATCAACATATGCTGTTGTGCTAGACAGAAGTCTAAGGATTAAATAATCCTTTGTAACTTAAATGTGGATTATATTTTTTTCTCTCCTGGTGTAACGTGGCTATTTTTGGGATCTGCCCCTGCTCACAGTGGGTAGGGTGTAAGATGAGGCAGCCAAGCAGGAGGAAAAAGCTGTGTCTTACCTCCATTTCCTGTGATGCAGGGACTGAGAACTGTTTTGCAGTGCATCTTTTTACCTGCCAAATCCTCTTCTTTTTCTTTTCTTTTTTTTTTTTTACAACAAGATAATGCGGTTTCACTTTCTTTTGATTTTTACTTGTCACACTTTCATTTTCATCTGGTGAGGTATGTTTGTTTTTATTTTTTTTCCTGCAGAATCATCTCCTCAGACCTCATTGAACAGGAGAAGTTCAGGACGTCAAGGAGGAGTCCATGAACTCTCTGCATTTGAACAACTAGTTGTGGAACTGGTACGACATGATGACAGCTGGCCTTTTATGAAACTGGTTTCCAAAATCCAGGTAACTGATAGAACTGTAGAAGTAATGATAACATTTGACAATCTTATTTGCTGTCAGTAAAATTTGGACTTCATAGCATTGCCCAAGCAGGAATTACAGTGAGATTCAGGAAAACTCTCACGCTTCAGCTCAAATAGCTGGTGCAAGAAATTTTTGGGATGACATGATATTTTGCAAAATTTTAAATACGCTTGATATCAAGAGTTTTAAAAAGTGAAATGTTTGACTTGAGAAAACAGAGCAGTGCACTGCTATGGGTAAGCTTTATGGTTATTAATGAATTGAATTTATGCTCAGTTTGTGCAAAGATATTTTCAGAACAGGCCTGCAATAAAATAACAAGGTAGGAACAACTTCATTCTGACATTAATTATAATGCAGTAAAAAGGTAATTTCTTAGTTGAGTTCTAAATTTACCTTCTCATTTAGACTTGACAGTAAAGTAGATACAAGCCTCTAAAGCAGCATTTTCTTAGGGTATTTCAATGAAAGTTCCCAAAGCACATCTGTTTTTCTGCAGATTGCACTGGCTTGTCAATTTCTTGTCACTGCTGGATCTATTCAACCTTAACAAAGTGCCAGTCCTCTTCAGCCTCTCTGGAGCAACTCTGTGCTGACAGCAGCTATAGTCATTTTGCAGGAGCTAGTGCTCAGTGTTTATTAAAATTAACAGTAGTAACTGGTAAATGAAGAATTGAAATTTGAGTTGCAGATGTTGGGGAGCTGGAAGGCTTAATGTATCTGGACAAAAAGAATGATCTACAAATGTGAATTAAAGATGCAGGAGCAGAGGAGAGGATTTTGAATGAATTCCAGACAAGTGTCTGGCTGCTAGAGTAGTGGAATTGCATTGGGAAGTGCAAGAGTGGTGAATGCAAGAAAACTTCTTAAGGAGGAATGAAGAATTCAATTTAATTCTGATATTAAAAAGAAAATGCTGAAGTTTGGTGCTTTCCAATTTGCCTGAATAAATCACTAAAGGATAATTCAGACAGTTCAGGAAAAAAAAATCATGAGTGTCCTACATTTTCTTCATCATGCTGGAATTATTGGGTTTAATTTCTCACTGTGCTTAGGACACTGTGGAAAATATATCAACTGATGAGTATCCAGCAAGCCAGAAAGAAAATTAATTTTCTTTTTGTTTTAATGTAAACAGCATTCCAAGAAGGAAAGGAATGAAAAACTTGTTCATCTAATTCTGTTTCTGTACAGATTCTTCCATCTATGTTCATTTGTAGGTTGTACTCAATATGGTAAAGTTTCAGGCAGTAATAAAGAACTTGGTTTTAAAATATTTTTAGTGATGCATGGGGGGATTTTTGTTTTTATAACAAAGTCAAATCCAGAACATATTGTGCTCTTAAGAAGATGCTGTTGTTGTTCCCCCTTCCCCCCGCGCTCTGTGGGTAAAACAAAAACAAAGGCACTCTAACCTCAGTGCTTGTTTGGAATTCAGAATCTGTGATCCAAATGATCAGTATCCTTAAGGGTTAAGCAGCTCATTTTGTCCTTTTCCACTTATCATGCAATTGCTGTGCTAAGTGGCTCTATATCTCTTGCACTTGCACACTGCATCCGGCTTGATACTGAAAGGTTCACTACCATTTTTTCAACATAATGAAATTTCAAGGAATACTGCAAAAAGGTAAACAGTAGTGGAACAAAAATGGCCCTTATTCATGGTTAAGGGATTTTTAGTATTGTAATATGTTACAGGAAAATGAAAGTTTTAAAATCTGGGAAATTGTTTTTGCTTTCAACCAATTGGAGTAGCATTAATACCATTCTGTTTATCTGGTCATGCAATTTTGGATCTTACAAATCCAAAAGTATTTGGATTTGCAAAGTCTTGAGCATTAGATTTATATGTTGAATTACTGGCTAATGTTGTTGTGATTGCAATTTTAATGACAGAAAAAATGGAAAAGCAGTATCTGCACACTGATATTAAGATCAGGAAAGAGAGGTGGTTCCTTGGACTCTGTTAAAAATCAAAATGCTTTCTGCTAATGCACAATTTACTTTTCTTCCTCTTCTTTGAAATTAAGTAGGATTTAAGCTTCTATTTATTTTGTAGGAATAAAATTCTCTTTTTTTTTTTTGAAGGTACCAGACTATTATGATATCATCAAAAAACCTATTGCCTTAAATATAATTCGTGAAAAGGTGAATAAATGTGAATACAAGCTAGCATGTAAGTATCACGCATTGAAAGAGGTAATGAACCCGTTCTCTCTGCAAAATAAATTCTCATCCTAAAATAAAGCTGTGTCAGGATTTGAAGCTGAAATTGTTGGGTTTTTTGAAAGAACTTTTACTGATCAGTATTTAACAAGTGTTACATCTTTAACTACCAAAGTGTGTGATGTGCAGATGGATGAGAAATGAGCTGCTGAGATACTGCTGGTAATTTCTGAAGCTTTTGTTGTCAGTATGTGACATCAATGAAATACTTGGAAAAGCTTCAGTTGTCACTGCCTGATTTGTAATCTTTCTGTTGATTATCATGGGAGTTTTAAGAATGTTTACATGGCACTTCGCTAACACATGGTACATACTTGATGCATGTGTAAAGACACTGTTGGGAACTCTTACTTGTTGAGTGGTGTCATGCTCCTCAATGATACTGCTATCTGATGATGTGAGATGCACTAAGTTCATTTATTTACTTTTTTATTTACTAGCGGAGTTTATTGAAGACATTGAGCTGATGTTTTCAAACTGCTTTGAATACAACCCTCGTAACACAAGTGAAGCAAAAGCTGGAACTAGACTTCAGGCTTTTTTCCACATCCAGGCTCAAAAGCTGGGACTTCCTATCACATCTGGTAATGTGGACCATGCCGCTCCCGTGGCCAAGAAGTCACGAATCTAACCTCTGCCTTCCAAAGGATTTTTTGAGGGAATCTGCTCTGTTCATGAAATGAAATGTTAAATCATGCAGTCATCATACCTGTATAAAGCAATAACAACTGTTTAACCACCTTGAAGTGTGGCCTGCACTATATTCTCAATGTAATATTAAGCACTCAGGAGAACGTAGGAAAGATTACCTTTGCTACAGTTTTATTCAGTGTCTAATAATTTTGATAGCTGTACTGGATACAGTACTGGTTTACAGAGGTTTTGTACATTTTTAATACATTCATGTGTCCAAATATCTTCTAGAAATGCGTTGGTTTTTTTCTGCACCAAATGATCTTGTTTCATCCTCTAGATATTGTAAGAACTGTGGTATTGAGGGCTTTATCAACTCAGATAAAATCTTCTGCTGTAGCGCAGTTGAAGAAACTGTGTATGTTTAAAAGTTGTTTGAGCATATCTTCTCGACACTACACATGAATGAGTACAATGAGCATATCTTATAAGTACTGTACCAGTGCTGGCTGGAGGTATTCAGTCCGAGTTTATTAAGTAGATATTTATTTAGCATTCAAAGTAATTTGTGAATTTGTTTTGTATTTATAAAATTTGTACCGGGGATTAAAAACAAAACAACAACAACAAAAGAGTTCCATAACTTTTTAAATTTTTGCCTGTGTTTTTTGTTTATCCCCTCGAACTTCTTGATGATCAATCAATAAATCCCTTCCCCTCTCCCAGGCAGTTCTTCTAGCAATGAGTAAATTTACAGGACTGTATTATAAGTTTCTATGTACAACTTTCAAAGTGTACAAATAAAATGACACATTTTTCAAAGTATTTTGAGTTTCTGACACTTATTTTGGGGGGCATACTGCTCTGCCACTGCTGATTTACTTGGGTAAGTTGCTGGAGAGAACGCAGAAGAATTTGGTTTTGGCATGAGCATCCGACTGAGCATTTTCAGCAGATGCAGCCACTGTGATACCTGGTCTCTGTCCATTGCAAATGTTTAGTTGTGTGTAAGTAACACAAGAAGAATGTATATAAGCTGTATGGTTCTTTAATTAGGATCTTCATTCTAATGGTTTAAAACCTTTATTGTCCGTGGTAGCAATCTTTTTAACAGAATTTTGACGTCAAGTCCATGCATCCATATCTAGTGCAGGTTGGTGGCCCTGCATGTGGCAGGGGGGTTGGAGATTCATGATCCTTGAGGTCCCTTCCAACCCTGGCAATTCTGTGATTCTGTGATCTAGAGAAAAATGTATGGAACAGAGATTGGAGGATTGGGGGTGGGAGTGAAGAGGTTGGGAAAAACCAAAAGATGAGGTTTGCTGCTGCTGCGGCTTTTCTGCCCATGTTTGCACTAACTTGTTTTGTAGCATGAGACCTGTATGTGTAGACAACTACTTGCTATGCACTTGTAGGTTTTCTCTGCATGTAGTGGTTGCTTTGCCTTAGAGGTGGCAACAACAGGCGTTTTCTTGAATCTGCAGTATGGATGGTGATAGGGGACTGACCAATTTGAAGGGGTTTTTTTGTTTGATTGGTTTTGAAGTATGAGAATAGTACATTTTAAAATGCCTGTTAATACTTTAGAGTTCATACACGAGCTGCTCTGTTAGCTAACATATCTCTTGCTGTTGGATCAAAGAAGCATTTCTTGTTCCATAAAGTGTTCCATAAGGGTTTTGGCCCTTCCTGTCCCAAAGCGCTGAACACAATAAGGAACTGAGCAGCAGCAGACTTGTCTGCAGACTGGATGATTGTACTTGGGTGTCCCTGCATCTGTCTGGTCCCAAGAGGATGCAGTGGTATTGACCAGCAGTTTGCACAAACAGTTGAGTGAGTTCTTGTCCACATGAATAGTGCCCCTTGACTTGAATGTGAATACTCTGGGGGGCACAGGGAGCTGGACATGCTGTGACAGATGCGATTTAAATTGTCACTGTCCCCAACCTACTCTCAGCTGTTCATTCCTATCGGTCTTTCTGCAGGGTTGTTTCCTTCAATAGCTTTCCCTTAGCACCACAAGTAGAATTTTGAGTGTGTAAAGTGAATGGGAGCGTAACTTCAGTTTATGTCAGAGTTGTTTGTATACTTGCGTAAAAGTTACCAATTTTCCCCTGAGTTTGCAAACCTAAGGCCTTTGCTAAACTTACTGACAGTGAAACAGGGAAAAATTCCCACTTCTCTGAGCTGCTGTGCTTAAAACATTTGAATGTGCTGTGTGTGCAACACTGACCTGACTGTCTGTGGTGCAGTGCTGCTCACAGAGCTTACTCTCCTCTTCTGGTGGCTGCTGTGTGCTCAGCCACACAGGAAAAGCAGGTATGGTTCATCCCTGTTACTTTTCTCTCAGTGGACTGCCTTGAGGTGGTGCACTTGTTATTGCTCTTTCATGCTCTGCTTACACTTTTTCTGATTTGTCAGGAAGTCTTTTTATGGCTGTTGATTTCCCCCCTGCTCCCTTGGAGAAAGGAGAATTGTTTCATGTCTCCTTCACTGAGGGGCTGAGATTTCAATGCTCCTTGTACTCTTCTTTCCCCCAGAGCAAACTCATGTCTTGCTCTGAGCATGTTTTCTCAGGCTGCCATCCGATGCCTTTATCCTGTTAGTAAGGGATATACAATACCTGTAGGAAGCTCCAAGCTGCACTTTGACAAAGGTGCTGGAAAGAACAGGTTCAATGGCTTCATCTCAGGTTCATGGGTTCTAACTAATGGGGCCTTACCTGACTCTTCAAGTACATGGGCAGTAGGCTTCCTTGAGCTCTGAGCTGCTTTCAGAAGCAGAATTCTGACTAAATCCATAGTGAAAGCCTTTCCCTTCTCAGTAGCACTAGTATATTATAACCCAGCAGGTATCCAAAAACTTAACAGCAACTCTTCCTGCTGTGCAGATTCCGTTTCTCTTCCCTTCTCCTGCCCCTTTCTTTCAACGCAGAGCTGGGAATTAGTGAGTAACCACACTTGGCACTTTTTCTGATGCTTTTTGTACATGATAATTCTTTCATAACCATGGGACCAGTTCCTTTGGAGGAATTGGGTTTCAGCTCCAAATAATGTCTCCTCCAGGAAATCTCTCTGTTTCCTTAGCAACTCTCTCTGTTTCTGGTCACTGAAGATGGTCAGGGATTCAGGAGACAATCATTGGTGTCCAGTTACTGCTGCTACTGGGAGCTGCCCTTTCCACGCAAGCAGGTCTAGGTCAGAAGATGACTTGTTTTTAGGGCTCTGCCTTTGGATGCTGGCTGCTTGTACTTTGCTGTGCGTGAGCAGCACCACAGCAAAGCTGTTGTGCCTCGGCCTCTGTCAGCCAGCCGGTCATCTCCTCAGCTGCTGTGCCCTCTGACAGATGCATCTGGTGGCAGCTGAGCTCCTGGAAACCTTCAGCAGTGCTGGAAGGCTGTGATGGAGGTAAGGTAGCTCTATCTGCTGCCAGGGGCTTGGGCTGGGGCCTCCACAGCACATGTCCACTGATGTGGTCAATTGTATGTCCAATATGAGGCCTGAGTAAAAAGTCCTCTTGGAGAATCTCCAGTTACCAATAAAGTTTCCCATTCTGGGGCACTCAGGTTTGAAGATGTTTGGATTAACTCAAATGCGCAAAAGGTAAATGACTTGTGTGGCAAATCACAGAGTTACAAAGGCAAACAAGTAAAGCCATCACTTTGACTCCCATCTGTTTCGAAGGAGGAGTGCTGAAGTGTCCCTGAAACATAGCTGTGTATTGCAGAATCTGGAAACAACATACTTGTTTTTAAATTATGTGGATATGTGTGTACACCTGTACAAAGTTTTGGGTTTTTAATTGCTGTAATCCATCTACTTTTAAAATAATAGTTACCCTTCATGAGCGTTGTATTCTGTGCCTTTAAAGGTTACATCTCCAGTACCTGGGAAAATGATGCTGGAGATGGGATCTACAGAACCCAGCAATGCTCTGATCAGAGCTTGGCTCCCTCTGGCTATGCCATAGCAGAGCAGCAGCCCTTTTTTGGAGCTGTGAGGACAATGCAGCCATGGCTGTGTTTAAGCTTCTTATTCTTTTTGTAAGTGCTCAGACAAATCTGATTGCTTGGGGTGAGGCACCTGCGGGCAGATGATCAGAGCCACATTCTGGCAGATGGATGCTTTTCCAAACCCGTGCTTTGTAATACTTGGAGTACACTGAAGTACTAAATGCCACCGTGAAATGTAACTGAAATGTTTTCAGTGGCAGAAGGCCACAGACAGATCATGTTTTCCAAAAAGTACTCAGATGCTGACTTTGGGCTCTCTGCCTCACTATATTCTTCTCTAGGCTTTGTAGAGCTTCTATTCTGGAAAACTGATTTTTCTTTTTTTTTTTTTTTAATTTGTACCTCTGCAATTATTTTTCTATGGAAGGAAAGAAAGAAAATGGTTTTCTGATACTTACAAGGCAAGCGAGTAGCAGGGCTGCCTGGAGCAAGGCCACGCGTGCTAACGGCCATGAGTACAGCACCCTGCCCTGCTCCTGTTTGCAGAATGCATCCAGCTGTTCAACTGGGCCAAGTTTGCTCTGAGGACGTTACATTACAGCATGTTCTCTGAAGCAATGGTATTGTCTTTATCCTCAAACCTCAGTGGCACAGTGCCAGCACATATTAATTGCCTGGCAGCCACAGTGTGCAGTGCTGGGATCTCAGGGCTGGGTACTGCCTGAAGCACATGGAGGAATGGAAAACGGGGTGCTGGAGGTATAATTTCCCTTGTGACTTGTAGTAAAGTTGCAGAGGGTATTCACGCTTTGATAGCTTGATTTTAATACAAAAGTCAAGCTTGAGTGTTGTTGTTTGCTATTCTTAGTTTACCAGTTTATTTAGACTTTATAAACTGTCTCCTAGATCGAGTCCCAAAACAGCATGTATAATAGTAATCTATGTGTTTTTCTATTTTTCTTCTCCAGGCATCTTACAGAACAAATTAGCCTGGAGAGGAAAGGACTTTAAAGAGAGCAGTCGTACTGTGGCTTGGCTCCTGCGAAACGCCAGAAATGCAATGCAGGATGCTAAAGTGTATGGGTTCTGAATTTGTATGTGGCTTTGCCTATGGGATCAGAACATGATAGTTCCTTTTCATGAGCATTCCTGCCTAGATCC